TGAGACCCCCCCCCCCCCCCCTGAGTACACCCCCCTCCCCCCCCTCCCCCCCCTCCTGTCTTTCCTCGATTTCCACAACGCCCCCCCCGCAGTTCCTCTTTGCTGTTTCTCACCGAGCTGGATTCTTGACTTTGTGCTGCGGTGGCGGTGGCGGTGAGAGCATCGGTGTAGGCCTTTTCCGCCGCGATGCTGTCTGCCTCCACAAATGCGGCCACGTCTGCCAGTGTCCTTGCGGGCTTGGACGGTATTGCCGCCGCCGGCGGAGCCGTGTTGGTTTGTCCTGCAAAACCAGTGGTAACAGCGACAACACAATCAGTATCAGCAGTAGCAGTAGCAGGAGAAACAGATCAGGATAGCAGCAGCAGTAGCAGCAGCAGCAGCAACAGCAGAAACCGTAGGTGAAATAGGAGGGTAGCAGCAGCGACAGCAGCAGAAGCCGTAAGTGACAAAGCAGGGTAGCTGCACTACAATAGGGGTAGCAGCAAAGAGAATGAAAGGAAAAAGCATTTCTCCCATAGCAATGACAACACGAACGATAAATGCTGTCATTTTCGTAGCTTGCATCGGCCCGGGTAGTTCATGTTGCTGCTGTGCAGAATATCATGCTGCTGCTAAGTGACTGCAGCATTCACGCTTACTGAAGCTAGAGGGGGCATCGCCGAATGCATGTCCACGACAAACTGGTACCGGCTTCGACGCAGCAAAAGAAAAGTCGTTGAGGACAAAATACCAAATACCAGGCGCAAGCAACGGCCGGCGAAACAAGACGCCACTGCAATAGCCTCTGAATGCTTCCGGTCCTTCCCAGGCGGAACCAACGTTTTCCCCGAGTCTCATGAGGGAAGTGTTTGTGGGTTTGTTGGCGCGGGTGTTGGTTTGTCGTCTGTTAATTTCCACCAGTACCATTTTCAACTTTTACGTTTCTAGGTAAAATGATTCGGCCCACGTCGTATGCCATCTGCGACATACTGGTACAAACGGTGCTCTCAACGCGCAGCAACGTTCTAGTCGCTTATCTTTAGAGACGGAACGTGTCTGAAATCGGATCTCATTGTTCTTCTTTTGATTGCGTCAAGTTTTCGAATTCGATAATAAATTCTATATAGCAAAAAAACAAGGCGACGGCGGATGCCAACACCACACATCAAAGTAAGACAAAATGTGTCGGAGGATATACCGGAAGGACTCCAACGAGAAGAACGAGTAGGTGTCAAACGACAAAAAGGAAAAGAGGCGGATAGCAAAAGAAAGGGTGCGAGGTGATTTCATTGTTTGTTGTATTCTTCTGAGAAAATATACAAGGCTGATACACATACAACGGGGCAAAATAACAAATCGCCAGGTACTCGCGGGAACAACTTCGTTCGCTGCGTTTCCCCTCCCCTCCCCTCACCAAGAGACAAGGAAGACGAGGGACAAGCATTACTGTACCTTTCGCTTGACCGTCACTCTGCGCCGCTGCTCCGACCGATTGCTGCGAGTCCACGGGACCGCTAGTCCTGACGTCAGCATCTCCGCCGGCCCCTTCGTCACTGCCACCGGCGGCAGCGGTAGCAGCATGGTCGTCTCCCGCGATCGCAGCGGCCGAACCTCGTCCATCCCCACCGGCAGAGGTCGCCCCTTCCGAAACTCTGCCTGCGGCAACTGGAGGGCCCTCCAGAGCATCATCGCCCGCTTCTTTTCTTCTTCTGGCCGTGCGTTCTGGAGGCTCACCTCGACCCTCCTCCCCCCTCGCCACCGCCGCCGCCGCCGCCGCTCGAGGTGCAACTCGTTCTCGTTGTTCACCGCTTCCGGGGGGCGACAGCGGGGGCTCCGTGTTACCCCCCGCTCCTCCCTCTTGCGTTTCTTCCCTTGCTACCCTGCCCTCTGCGATTGGTCGACCGCCAGCGGTCCCGGCACTACCTCTGTCCGCCTCTGAGTACCCCTCCACAACCTCCCCTTCTCGCTCGGCGCCCTTGTTATCGCCACTTGCCGCTGCTGCTGCACGCCGTGCGGAGGAGGATGCGTCTGCGGCGGCAGGCTTGTTACCTGCTGGCGATGCTGCATCGTCGTTGTTTAGTTCGTAGGAAGCGGGGGCCTGTTCCGCCCTCTTCTGCAGCTTAGGGTCCAGCGCTGTCGACAACGGCAGTGGCGGCGGTGTGTGGGGTCGTGTGGGCACGTACTGCGCGTTGTGAGAACATGTGCTCGTAGGTACAAAGGAGGCGTGGAAGGAACAGTAGTGGTAATACCAGTATTGCCATTTATACAGCAAGCTAATATGATATGATGTCTATCATGTCCGGTTTTGGATTCTTGGCCGCTGCATCATCTACGCTGCGAACTACCTCTCGAGTCGCTGTCTGGTGTGCGTAAGTAGGGAGCACCATCCACCGCTCCTGGCGCTCACTAGTTACTGCTGTACCCAACGGTTTGCAACGGTATGTACACTTGCGGCAAGGTTGTTGTTGGGAACTACCGCGGCAACTATTTATGAATACTTATACTTGTTGGGAACTACTGCTGTACTGCTGTTGGGAACCAAATTTACATCATGAGTTTGTAGGCATCATTGTAATCAGTAATTCGAGCCCCAAGTCCAAGTCGAGTTCGAGAGCGTACTGATCATCTACTGTAGATTTTGTCCAACCAGCACACCCCCCGGACTCTGCAACCGAGAAGGGATTTACACTCATGGGTCATGCCAGGGCGAAGGGGGGGGGTGCTATTAGGCGTCATGTTACCGTCTTGTTTGAACATTCGCACACCTTGGTTTCCATCCACCGTTGCTGCTGCCCCAGCCTTCGCACTGGTCTTTTTGAACCTCATAACCTTGCGTGTGTGCCGTCAATGCTCCAGTGTGTGTACTATCGTGTCGTCCATGTCGCAGTGTCGTGGGGTGTGTCCACTGGGTGTGGGCGGCGGGCGGGGTATGGGTGAATGATTCCACGGAGCGTTTTTCTTCCCGCCGCCACTCCAAACTGAACTGCGAGGCCGGTCTATTACTGAAACCTCAGACCGTCTTCTGTGTAACACTGCTAGCTGTGTCTCAGCTTTGAGAACGAACACGAGAGACGGGGGAGAGAAAGGGGGAAGGAAGAGGCCGGAAATACCTGACAAGTACGAGGTGAGGCATCGTAGTGTGTGCCTAGTACGCTGGGGGAGGCTGCCGTCGTGCGGTCCATGTTTTCGGGAACAACGGAGTTTGATTTTGTTGGCGACTGGTGTTGTTCGTGCATGATGTGTGTCCCATACCTGTCTGTCGTGTGAGAAATGCTGTTTCCTCTCGCCCTCACTTCTTCTCGCGTGCTTACTCACACGTGCTGGCCCTCACGCACGCCGGGAGAGTGCTACATAGATTGCGTGGCAGATCCGAAGACTGCTGCTGTTGGGATTGGTTTTGAAAATCAGGGGCAAATTCCTCCCCACGGGGCGACATTGTTTCCCAGTCATCGGCCGAACGGGCGCGGGGTTGTGTGCCGCCGCTGGCCGTTTCCTAACAGTACAACAACAAGACCCACCTGCCTCAAGTCTCGGGAACGGTTTACGAAGGAGCTTGAGCGGTGGTGCGCTGCCAGTCCGCGTGTCGTGTTCCCGCGGCGCCAAGTGAGGGTCGCCGTTGTCATTGGCAACAAACAACGAAGAAAAAAACAAAAAAACAAGGAACATGCCGCCGCCGTTCTGTACGCCGTTTGCTAATGTCTGGTAGGCACCAGCACCAGCACCAGCCGCCGGCAAGCGGCCGCCGGCCGAACCACCGAGCGGACCGTTTAATCCCCCCCTCGCCCCCGAATGAATGCGACAGCAGTTCCAGTAGTAGTGAGAGAAAAGAGGCGCACAGCAGCAGTTCGAGATATGTATACTGCTGTAGGAAGGGGCAAAAATGTCGTTGGCGTTTACTATTCAAGTATTCATATACAACCGAGCCACCATCTGTCTCAAATATTTTCCCGCGGTTTCGGACCCTCAGGCATGCTCCCCCTCCCGTCGCTCCGCCCACGCAACAGGCATAGACGCCGCCCACGCAACAGGCATAGACGCCCCCTCTCCTTGTCTCTCTCGTCTAGATGGGCTTCCTCTGCGCATAAACTAGCTCTCCACAGCAGTTCCCTCCACAAGACCATGTATTCGCTCTTGCCGTGGGCGACTACTTGTAGTGCTGTGGTGTTGTATAACCGTTCCGATCTCGATCTCGCCGGATCTCGTATGACACACGTGCACACAGCAGGCAGCAGTGTAGCGCTACGCAAGATTCCGCCCGTTAAGCTCGATCACTACTCCACGAGGACGAGGATGGTGGATGCGTTTTCGGAAAGCCGATGATGTCTGGATCCAAGGACGACATTTGCGGCGCCGTCACTTCTGGTGTTCTTTTTGCTGCTGCAAGAGTACTGTGTGGTATCTCGAGGTATCACACTCACGATATTGCCTTGTCACATCGTTCGTTGTGGTTGCCCCTCTTGTTGCGACAATAAAACCGTTCCAGTTTCTGGTCCGCACTGGCTGTACTGGACCCACCTGTCTCGGACGCGTTACGTGTTCACAGGACAACGACCGCAAAAGACTGAAGGCGTAACCAGCTACTTTCTTTGCGTTCAAGGTCTAAGTGCGTGCAGAGTCTGTACATATTGATGTTCTTTTGAGATCAAAGAAACACAGAAACGAATTCCTGAGGTCGGTCGCAAGACGAAGCCACCACTCTCGAAAGAAGGATATGGAGGGGAGGGGCTGCGGCAGTATCATACATTCGAACGTGTCACTGCCACAGCTGGACATGGGAGCCCTTTTATTTATAGCAGTACTATAATACATACGGGTGGACCTCCGACGCATTCATTGGAGGATGTTGCGTCCTGTATTGTACGCAGGCCGCCACATCATCTTCAACAAAACATGGATATTGTTTTTTGGCCATGAGCGAATCCAAGTTTTTCTCTTGCATGTTTTTGGGGTGAGATAGTGGCATCTTAAGCGGCCATGCGACGCTGCGAGCGACGCTGCTTCACGCAAAACAAGAGGGATAATACAATACCTACCTTGTCCCCGGATTGCTGGCAAGGCAGCTGCTGTCACTGTTGGGAAACGTAAATACAACACAGAATGCTGTGTGCTCACGTTATGCGAGAACCAACCCAAACTGCAGATTGGTCATAGAACGCCAGCTCGGAAGCTATACGATTTAGTTGCCATTTTCTTCCTCAGGCCCCTGCACCCGGGTACGATAGGGATGGATTATTATTTTTCTTACAAATTCTTCGAAGTACATACTCCGGAGTATTAAGTACCGAAAATCAGGGAAAAGCCCGTCGCTCAGACTCAGACCCGTACTCGTACGCACAGCACGAAACAAGTATTAATAGCAAGACTTATCACTGCCGTATGTTGCTCGGAGATCGAAACAAGCACAGGTAGGTCATAGCAAAACCACCATATCATATATCCATTGCTATTTAATTTGCCTGGGCCCTTTCCTCTGCAGATGGAGATGCGGACTTGGGCTAGTTGTTTCCTTTTTGCAAGAAACAACAAACGTAACAGCAATAGTATGCATAGCACTAACACGCGGCTCTTGATCGTTTCTGCGATTTCCCTTGCCCACGCGCTGCTACTGCTGTCTGTTCCACTGCCCCCCACGTGTGATGGCCGCAGCGCCCAATTCCGCCCACCCGCTGACAACAACAGCAGCGTCCCCCTGCACTAGCAGTCGGTGGTGGCCCAGTGCATATCCCTGACAATAGCTGGGGCGCAACCAAGCGACGGCAGCAGCAGCGGTCCCCCGCCCGGCCAACCGCCCCACCAACAAGCATCCCTGGCACTGGTACTGCTGCTACCGGCGGCTCCTCCTCCTCGCCGCCGCCACCGCTGTCGGAGGTGAAGCTGGGCTGGGACACTCGGTACCGCACGGCGACGGCGATGGCAGCGGCTGTCGGAACGTCGTGCATACCTCCTCCGGTTTCCGCTGGAAACCCTACCGCGGGGACGGCGGCGGATGCGGGGCCGGAGGGAGGGGGAGGGCCCTCCACGCCCTCTGCTGCTGCTGCTGCTGCTGCTGCTGCTGCTGCTACTGCTTTGAAGGGGGGAGGCGATTGTAACGGCTTCAACGTGAATCAGCAACCGCCCTCGGCGACAGCCAACGGAGTCGGGGCCGCGGGGGGGGAGGCGGAGGTGCTGCGGCCAGAAGCCGGGAGCTCCATCGCCGCCGCCGCCGCCGCCGCGGCTTCAAGCAGGAAGACCGCGAGTCGCCACGGCAGCGGCGACAGCGAGGACCGCGGCGACGTAGCCGACGCGTGCGCTACGCAAACATCGGCGGCGGTAAGGCCCGCAGACGGCGGTGGCGATACAAGGAGCGACGACAAGACCGGCGGTGATGACGACGAAACAACAACGTCACGGTCGTCGTCGTCGTCATCGTCGTCATCGTCGACGATGGCCCCGCCGCCCCCCGAATCGACACCGACAGCCAGAGGGCGGACGCTGGTATCCCTCCAGCTGAAGAAGGAAGAGCTCCTGCCGCCCCCGGTGTTGCCCCCCTCCGCCTGCACAACGCCTGCGGAGTCTCCTAGAAACCCGGACCTGGTGATGGACGCGTTCAGGTCTCCCGCCGCTTCGCCCTGGCCGGCCGGCGGCGGCGGTGGTGTTGGGTTTCGGGGGAGACAGAGAGGAGCTTCGGCGGCGGCGGTAGCGGCTGGCGCTCGGTCTGGAGGCGGTGACAGGTGTGGAGGCGGTGCAGGGCTTGGTGTTTGTTGTGCGGGACGATGGCGCCCGGTGGCCATCCCACACTTGTTCTTGGCGGGGTACTCCCATGCTAGGATTTTGCGCATCTGCCATTTCTATGTTTTGTCCTCTGGCGTAGTTGTGTTGGGTGTTGGTCAGCCGCTAAGCGCGGTCGATGCTAGTCGGTGAATCCCACATACACACACACACACCCTCCTTTGGTTGAGTCTCGTCTTCGACATCCCCGTCGGCGGGGCTTCTGCGGAGTAGTACATGTGTGTGCTGTGGTTGTCTCGCGATGCCCTAGTGACGTCACTGGCGTCTTTCCGTTTCCATTGATCGGGCGGTGACGGTTACGGCAGCAACGAAACCCGTGCTTGTCGAAGATGTAGATACACACATGAGACAGCCGCCATGGGTGAAGCACTATTATTTTGTAACTACTGCCGCTGTTCGGCGTTCGTGCATGCATGCCTGACAGGAGCTCAGCATGGAGAGCAAGGACCGGTAGCGGCGGCGGGGGTGACGGGGGCTCCGTGGATGCTTTTTGCGTGTCTCCGTTTTCCCCGAGGGTATCCCCTCGAGCTCTCATGTCTTCGCCGGTCGGAATCGACGGGCCGGCACGAGACGGCTCGTTCTCCCTCTCTTCCTCCCCCTCCTCACAGCGTGGCGCCTTTGCGGGAAGCGGTCGGTTGGAGGGGTCAGATTGGTGGAAGGTGGGTGTTGGGTGTTGGCACCACGCCCGCCCCCCTTTTCTTTTGTACGATGTGAAGATTTTTTTTTGTTAGCGATATTATGGAGAACATTGCTTGAATTTCCGGGCGTGAGTGGAATGGAGGAAGAGCTGCCGTGTGTTGGATGAGGACCCCCGCCCCAATTAGGTTTCATTCTAAGGCGTTTTTTTTGTTTTTGTGAGCAACCATGTTGGGGTTGTACGCACAAGGGAAAGAGGGTATCTTTAGATGCGTTGCGATGGTTTTTGTTATGGGATACGATCGTTGTTGTCTTGACAACATGTTACAGCTGCTGCTAGGTTGTGACGATGACGACTGTTCCACGGCATCTCATCAAAACCCACCCCAACACTGCGACAACTGGATAATCTGGTACTGCTTGCGTGTAGCCTGCCGCGGGATGAGGAGGGGCAGTAAGCAGTAAGAATGCAGCAAGTGTGTGCGGGGCTTGTGGTGTGCTGTTTTGTCATCACATTGCGTATCCGTCGTTGACATGCATGGTGTTTAACGTAAATACCTCTTGTCTGTCTGTCGCTGCCTCTCTTTCTGTCTGTCTGTCTGTCTGTCGCTGCCTCTCTTTCTGTCTGTCTGTCTGTCTGTCTGTCTGTCTGTCTGTCGCTGCCTCTCTTTCTGTCTGTCTGTCTGTCTGTCGCTGCCTCTCTTTCTGTCTGTCTTGTCTGTCTGCCTCTCTCTCCTGCCCCTGTTCTGGTTATCGTTGATATGACTTACGCTATATGGCGACGATCGATGACGACCAGGGTCTTGATCTCAGTCCGGACCGTTGCGGGCTACCAAGATGGAGGTATTTATGCAAGTATTCCTAGCTCGCCTTGTCTTGCCTCACGATACCTTGTCCTGTGTTCGAGCCCAGTTTTTTGTTGTCGAGGTTGATCATATCTGAAGAGAATTACATTCTTCCCATTCGACTGGTATTGGACTTGGTTGAAGGGTGATGCATCTTCCTTCGTTTGTTTGATTTTTTTTTCATTGATCCCCATGGGTCTCGATTTTGATGGAACTAGATTTGACCGTCGTTTGATGGAGTATGGTGTGTGGCGTGATGTCACATGAGAGGACACTGCTTGACCGTAACTAACCCCCATATGTACTTGTCACCGGTCTAGTCTTGGCTGTCATCAACCCCGCCCTTGTTTTTTTTTTTTCCTTGTTTCAGGGGTGTTTCCCCCTCCCCCCCATGATCATCTGCCTCTGCCTCCCGCCTCCACAACGCCCCCGTATCCGGCGTTTCTCGGCACGCCCCCCCCCCCCCCCCGGGCGGACTCGCAGGGAATCTCGCAAGCCGGTAGCGACGGCCTCGTTTCTGCCAAGCGATGACGTCACTGAGAACGATGGCGGCGGCGAGACTGTCGTGGAGATGACTTCCGTCTCCGCAGCGGCGGGGTTTCACGACGGGGGTGGCGGGGTTCGAGGGTTGTTGTCCCCGACTAGGAGCAGCTCCGCGCGCATGTCGCGGTCTTACATGACGCTGCTGGCGGCCGCGGCGGCGGAGGAGACGACCAAGGGCCGCCGTCAGCAGGTATGTGTTGTCTTGTTGTTGTTGTTGTGGTCGCTAAGGTTGGTGTTGGTGTTGTTGAATTTATGTGTTGGTTTTGCTTCTAGTTCAGAGTATGTCATACCACTCTCTTGACCAAGTATTTGATTTTCTGCTGGTCTCTTTGTTGGGCTATTTAGTTTGAATCATCTGCAGCCGGGAATGTTAAGAGTCCACGAGTAATTGGGCCCCCATCACACGACGGTTGCATGTTGTTCCCACTTTCGGTTGTAACCAGACGGGCAGGCACGTTTCCAACAACACTTGGTTTTCCTCCATTCTGTCTTTCCAACGACGACATTTCCCATGCCATGCATCTCCCGCAACGTATCCAACCCATGTGCCCGCTCTTTTTCTCCTCGCCAGGGAGGGGGTGTGCCAGGTCGCGCAACTGGTGAGGTTTCCGCTACAGAGCAGGCGTCTCAACCCTTGACGGTGGAGGGCAGGCTCAGGCAACTGGAAGCCGAGAACTTAAGGCTGCGATTTCGAGTGGCGGATCTCGAAGGCCAGGTATTGATATTGTCCGCTACTCGTGTGTCGATATTGTCATATTGTCATGTTGTCATATTGTACATTCCTTACCGGTGTTTGAGGGTGGTCGTTTTGGGGAAAGGATGGACCGATGTCAACCCGTTGCACAGATACTTCTGTTGTACAGCAGTGGTCGTATTTTTGTAGTCAGGAACGTTTTTTTATTTCTTTTTCTTTTTGGACAGGTAAGTGTGATGGAGGACGAGCTCGACAGGCGAGGAGTCGCTCGGCCGATGCCTGCAGACCCAAATAGCAGCAGCAACGCCGAGAGTTGCAGAACCGGCAACGCCGGCACGGCGGTTGTTGCTTCCGCTGACGACAAGAGCAACGCTAGCGCTTGCCGGGTGAAGGTGGAGGCAACAGGTGCCGCAAAGACTGTGAAAGCAGCAGCAGCAGCAGCAACAGCAGCGACATCACCCAAGTCGAGGGGAGTTGAGGGGGAAGGAGGGGGAGAGGCTGGGGCGGGGATAGTCAACGATGGTCCCCTGTTGTCCCCCCGGGGTAGGGGGTACCTGGCGAGGTTGGTGCTGGAGGTTTGCTCGGAGATCGAAGACAGTAAGAAGGTGGGTGTGGGTAGGTGCGAAGTAAACACAAAGTTTTTTCTTGTGGATATTTCCAGCTCGGCAGCAAGACGGTTCCGATGTGCGAAGTAGCAAACTATAATAGAGGTTGGCTCGGAGATTGAGGATATTTCGAAGGTGGGTGTGGGTATGTAAGTGGTTGCGCTTGAGGGGCATATCGAAAAGAGGAGGCAGAACCGATAGTCAGAAAGATAGATGGGCCAATAAAAAAACGTTGTCGATAAAAACATGGTGTTGTGAGTCGTTGTTCCGCCTCCCGTTTCGGAGCTTGGCTTGATTACTTGATTGCTGTCAAATACGCGCAAATTTGTATGCATAACAAGCAACAACATCTTCATTTGCTTGGTGTATTTTACATGTGTGTGGTTTCAGTAGGGTGCTTTGGTTTGCTGACTACCGTATATGACACAAGATAACACACCCCCTGGACCAATTTTCAAAGCTCGATTACGCCACGACGAAGAGGATGTATAAATGAAACAATACATTTTCGGAAATTTCTCGACCAGACAGCTTCAACGCCAACGTTTTCGGCGATTTGACTCTTTCTGTTGTTGAGAAATCGAGATTTGAAAATCGGTCCAGTGGGTGTGTTATCTTGTGTATTTACGGTAGAGTGTTGCGTGTACTGTACGTCATTCAAAACCCTCTTCGTTACTGGTCTTTTTTTGTTTTTTTTCGTGGGACCACCATGTGGTATGTTTTCTCCGTATTTTTAATTTTTTTTTGAACTTTTTTTCTGTGTCCTTATGGTGATTCTGGCGCGATTTTTTTGCACAACTGCGGGAGAAGGCGGCTACGGAGGCTAAGGCTAAGGGAGGAGGAGCCAGCACGAGCACGAGCACGGTGACTACAACGGGCGAGGGGATCGCGTCACGCCCGCGTTCGATCCCGCACTCAGAACGCCTGTGCAAGGTGCTGCCGAAGGTGATGGAGACGGCCATCAGGGGGGTCAAAGACCTCGACGAACAGGTGTGTAACAGAAAACAGAAAACAGATAACAGATGCCGTTGTTGTTCCTATTGTGGTAGTAGGGTAGTATTAGTAGTCGTGTTACTAATATAGTAGTAGGAGCCCCATGCGCAGTTGGTTTTGTTGGTGGAGTAGGAATACATGTGTACAGCAGTAGTTGTTTTGTTGTTGTTGTTGTTGTTGCTGGTGATGGTGATTTGTTTGTTGGCCTTGAGAAATTGTGCCCAGCGATGTCGCGTACATCCTCTTTCCTCGAGATAACGACGCGAATCTAGGCGACCACAAGCTAACCGAGAACGGTAGAGGATACTACTATATTACCTACAGTACCGTGACGTCATAAGGTATTGTCGACTCACTCACGGTGTACGTTTTTCACCTCCACCCGGGACGGTGTGTACTTTTGAGTCTACTGGGTATTTTGGAAGCTGTTTGATGCTTTGTGCAAATACATGTGTTTGGAAACCTGGATAGGATTCTATTCGTGCATGTTGATGAGGAAGGAGTCAGTTGCCAACAACGACAGTAGTTGCCAACAACGACAGTAGTTGCCAACAACGACAGCAGTTGCCAACAACGACAGCAGTTGCCAACAACGACAGTAGTTGCCAACAACGACAGCAGTTGCCAACAACGACAGCAGTTGCCAACAACGACAGCAGTTGCCAACAGCGACAGCAGTTCCACCTGTGTTGCTGCATTCAAGACTTTTCCCGCGCCAGATACAGTAGTATAACGGTACATATTTCACGACAGACAACAGTCCTTCTCAGATTCGGGGCCTTGTAGTCGAGCTAGATCTCTCGGAATTTCGACCAAGCGGAGGAGAGACAGAGAGATGAGAGTTGTTTAGACCCATGTTTATGGTCTCACAATCTTCGAACATTATCTTCAAATGTTGTCAAACTTTTGCGTGCGAATATCTGCCAGAGGAACATTTGAGTATCGCTTTTATGCGCAAAAATAGCTCGTCGTGTAGTTTTCTCGGAATGCATCAGAAGTGCGGCGGGAATCGTGGTCTACTGCTACCATACGATTTGCGACAAACCACAAAGGATTCATGGAAACTGAATGTACCGAGCTCGTAAAAGGGCTCCCGACAACCCTTGATGCACTGAGCTGATGCTGTGCCCGCCAATATGTGGCGATAGCGCTCCGGGCTTGCGAGAAAATATATTCTCGGTGTCAAAAAGAGACCAAAACGTGCGTCAGCGCTTCCCAACGGCAAAAAGTCGGCCGCTTGAGAGGAGACGTGAGTACAAAACCATCCAGCTCTCGCCCGTTAGACCATCGATTCATGTTTTGTCTTCTTGGGCGTCTTCTCCATCAACGACTCTCATCCGGTTGTGCGTGGGTTGGCAGTGGCCGCGCTCAGTCGGCAGGGAGGCACATCGTTGTGCGCACAAAGTTGTGGACACAACGTTTTTTCCGGTCTTTTTTTCACTTGAATATATAAGAGGGCTTGTTCCTCCGTCCCAAAAAAGACTTTTTCAACACATCGAGTTCACAGCGACGCGCCTCCCTGCCTGTTGAGTACGTCCACTGCCGAACCACGCACACCTGGATGGGAGCCGTTGATGGACAAGACACCCAAGAAGTCAAAACATGAATCGATGGTCTAGAGGACGAGAGCTGGATAGTTTTGTACTCACGTCTCCTCTCAAGCAGCCGACTTTTTGCCGTTCGGAGACACAAACCACGTTTTCTCCGTGCCCTCCAAACCACCCCAGTCTGTTTGTTTTTTTATGCACGCTTGACGAGCTCCCGCCATGTATCAGCCGGCAAAACGTTGACACGGTGACGCTAGGGTTGTCCGGATCCCTCTATGAGCTTGCTACGTTGAGTGTGCGCTACGCAGTTGTTGGTGTTTAGGACGGAAGGGGCGGTCGGCTACTAATCTCGCCGCTCTTGGAAAAGATTTTCGCGACCTGTGTTTGTCGAACATTTTGTCGAACGAGCGACTTTTGCCCCATTTGAAAAATTTGGGAAGATTTTGTCAAATATTTTCTCCCATAAAAAGTGAAACAAAATCTTGTTCCGCAAATCTTTGACAATTTCGACATTTTCGGAGAGATTTGGCGACCATAAACATGGGTCCTACGGTGCGACTAAATGTCATGTATGTTGTCCATGAGCTTTGTAGTTGCATCGATGTTGCCTTATTGCTTCTGGTCGTGGCGGACGCCCTCACCTATACCGCAAGTCTTGGCGGTGTGTTGTTGTCCTCGCATCTCAGAGGAGGCACGCAGATAGCAATGCTTGCTAGGGTAGGGGACCTCCCGGTCGTCCCACACCCTATAGTACTGTTCTTCAAAGATACATACCACATACCCTAACTGTCCCTGATGGCAGCTGCTTCACACCAACACATGCCCTAACTTCACCTTGCATCTCGCCTAAGATAAGATGACACAACACTACTATTATACCGACGAGCCCGCTCCGGAGGCACGCCGTGCATACCCTTGTCAACCATGCTCGTAACACCACTCGCCACTTTGCTTTGCGTCTTGGCCTGGGCGAGTGCAGGTGTTCGAGCAGATGATGCGAACAGCCTCGGAGCGCGGCAGCGGCATGGCCATGTCCATGTCGTCGCTGTCCTCCCCCGCCCACGGTGGCAGCCTGCCGCTCGGTACCCCCGCTCGCCGCCTCTCGAGCTGCGTCGTGGCCAGGGACGGAGGGGGGGAGTTCTTCGCCCAGAGCCCCGCCCCTGGCCGGCCTGCAAGCTTCTTCAGGTGCGTTTTTGGAAGCCAATCCGCGGACCTCATCCGCGGATCGCGAAACGGAGTTGATACCCCCCCACCCCGTGATCGCGCGTCTCCTGATGGTGCTTTGGCATGAACCAGCGTGCAGCACGATTGGAGTATGGTGACTAATGGTGACCACGCGCATCTTATTTCCCTTTCTCGTTGCAATGACCACGTCAACCTGACCACTGACTGCGGCAGGCTTGTGGGAGAGCCTAAGACTCCTGCCAGAGGGGACGGTTCGGCTCTTCGACGGACTTCCAGCGGCAGTAGCATCAAGGTGAAGGGTGAAGGGGTTGGGGTTAGGGTCCTTGGGTAGGGCTGGCGGCGATGTTTTACAGTTTTTGTTTTGTTTTGTGGGGAATACTACTGCTTGGTAGTGGTATTGTTTGTGTTTGGTGTCATTGTTGGTGATGAGGTGGTCGCTGCCGTGATTTAGTGCCCCCGTGCGATGTATTTTGTTGCGTTTCGTGGCTGCGACGTCCCCCCCCCTTCGTTGTCATTGCCTTGGTTTCTCATCACTCGTACACTACTTTATTTATGCCCCGCGTACGCGCGAACGGCACCTGTCCAGCGAGCGTAGTCACTCCCTCCGCAGTTGCTGTCATTCCTTTCGCTGCCCATGGCTCGTAGGCTCTCCATTCCCCACGTGCGTGCGAACAACAACGCCATCCTGTCCATCTCCGATTCATCTCCGATTCATCTCCGATTCATCTCCGATGTTGTTTTTTCGAACGCACAACCCCCGTCTTGTTTTCCTATCGCCCATTGTACATTTTTAGGTCGTCCGCACGGCTTCGGCTTGGGACGCCACTCCGATGATTAAAATGTTTACCGGAGGAAAGCCGGGGAAAAAGGCGGCAGCGGCGGCGGCGGCGGCGGCAGCGACCCCCCACAAAAATGCCAGGGAAACCCCACTGAGAACGCCGCGATCTGGGGGTGCGGGGGGTTTCTTTGGGGCTGGGGACTGGCTGGCGGCGGCGTTTACGCCCAGGGGCGCGCTCGCGCCTGACCCCGACAGGTTGGTGGTGTGAATTCGATTGCTGGTATTGGTGCTGTGATTGTCGTTTTGTGTGTGTTATTTTTCGATTTGTACGCGTTGTTGTTGGTCGCTCTTGTTTAAAGATGTCTGACTGGTGTGCCTCTCGGTTTGAATGCGGTTGTATCCAACGAATCAAACCCGTGTCAAACAGATTCACCGGGTGGGACCGCCTGTGCTTGGATTCATGCATTGTGATCGCCCGTATATCGTTCTACTCGCGATGTTACTGCTGCTGTCGCCCCCACTGCTGCCGTTACTATGTTCCACTTGTGACTCAATCTCTCACCTACCCCCCCCTCACGGACCCTCACTCCTCGCAAGGGGGATGATCGCATCACGTTGTGCTAACATGGTCAAGCACCCTTGAGGCAGTTTCACAAGTGCTTATGTCTGTCTCTGGAAGCGAAAACACCAGAAAATAAATTACGTCATTCGCAGCTGTCCTCCGTATGTAAGGAAGTAAGCACAAGAAGATGCCGAACACACTTAGCAGGATGCAGCGCACCCTATATGCGACTCACCGACATGCATCACGGCGCTTCGAGCTCGGTGATGTGAGAGCCTGGTCCGGCGAGAACCTGGCTTGCTCCGTCTCGGCTTTGTTGGGATGCGACGTCAATGGTCTAACGACTACTATACGGCATGCACGACTGTGAGCACCCTCCCCCCCCTCCCCCCTCACGCCGCCCTCCCCCTTTTTTTCAATTGTTGAACCCCTCAGTCCTCGGGCGCCAGCATCGGAGGTCCCCAAGCAGCAGCAGCAGCAGCAGCAGCAGCAACAACAACAACCACCGGAAGAGGAAGTGGAGCAGGACGAAGGAATCGCGCCGTTGGCACCTTCGCAGCCCCTCTCGTCGTCCCGCCCGCCTCCCGAAGCGGACGCTTTGTCGTTCGAGGGCTCCACCGAGGAGGTTCTTCGGTACACCATCGTTGCCAAGGTCGGTCGGTCGGTCGGTCTGTCGGTTTACAAGTCGTAGTCATGATGCACGACTTGTTGTTGCTGGTGCTGCTGGTTCTGGTGGTGCTGCTGCGGTGGTGGTGGTAGTAGTGGTGGTAGTTGTGTTGATGTTGTTTTGGTTTGTGATTTATTTTTTGAGGGCTGGATACCAAAGAACGATATATATATTGTTGATGACCCCCAACTCAGTTGTATCAGAGTATTTAGCATGGGTCTCACGATTGTACCGTCAGCGGAAGGTGGGAAAACCGACAACAAGATGTGCGTGGTTGGCTTAAAATCGTGTTCACACAAATTCTCGTTGGCCTTCCGACCACAAAACATGGGAGATTCGTGTGGTACCCACCGCAGAATCTACTTTTTGTGTCGCCCGCAACAAACAGCAAAGTTTGACCGCTCGCTATTATAGTTTGGCCGCTGCCACTGCTGTGTTCTTCAGGCACATGACGTCATCGTTGTTGATGCGCGTGTGATATTTTTTGGTTTGTTTGACAGAGGTGTCTCACCCGGAGGCACATCTCATCGTGATCGTCGTCGTCGTCCTTGTCGTTGTTGATGCGATATTTGTTGCGTTGTGTTGGTTAACAGAGCTATCTCATCCGGAGCAAGTCGAAGAAACACGGGGAGAGTCGCGAGGCGTCCCCAATAAAGAGCCTCTTCAGCCCGGGGGGCACGGAGCGGAAGGTGGAAGAGGGTGGCGAGGAGGACGTTCGTCACCTGACCAAAGAGCTGCTGGACCTCAAGAGCAGGTGACTTGGCTGGCTCAATTCAAAGAGATGGCAGCACCAGCACTTCTCCGGGGGACTCGTTTTGCGTGCTCGAAGCCCTAGGATGTGTGTTGGGTCACCGAGAGCGTGTACACGTGTTCGTTTCGACAGGCTTGCGTGGTGACTGACCCAATTCGAAGAGATGGCTGCAGCGTTGCTCCGGGGGGCCCGCGTTGCATGCTCGAAGCCCGAAGATGTGTGTTCGGCCGCCGTTCATTCAACCGATCATGGCGGGACACCTTTGCAGACGTTCGAGCCCACCGTATGTTGCAACAACGTAGACCGCCTTCGTGCGACTAAGTTTATGAGGAAATAGTACAGGGAGGGGGCACGCAGACCCTATCCCTATGCCTATCCCTATGCCAACTTCCCTGAGTGCGTGCTTTTTCTAACATGTTTTCTTGATATTGAAAAGGAACACCTTGAGAGGGCCGCTGGACAACGTGCATCACCCCTCCCCTGTTTTGAAAACCACCTCTGTTAACCAACCCCACGCAGATACATGGCGTCAACCCAGCACTGGCTCAAGACCGACATCGTCAACCACGAGGAGCTTAGGATGATCCGCGCCCAGGTGTTCGAGGCAATCCAGAGGAAGCGAAGCGAGCTGCACACCGAGGCCGCGGCGGTGTTGAGGGCAGAGAGGTGAGGCTGAGCCACATCTTACCCCTCTCCAGGAGCACACACCGACGGAGCACACCAGCTGCAGTCCATCCGTCCGGTAGATCCGATCCTCCGCATGTAACACTCTGCGTTGTTCGAGAGGTGACCAATCTACATGTACCCAACAAGCGTGTACAGGAGTCTCTCTGTTGTTGTATGGAGAACTTTGAAAGAAACGTGAAGAGAGAGTGACATATACAGGAATGAATGTCATTGATCGCAAGGGTAGTTAGTATTAGCACAACACGGTTGGGTGGGGACAGGGCTGATTGTTTCGGAAAGGGCGAGCCGATGACTGGGCTCAAGACGAAGGCGAGCAAAAGTCTCCCCTCCCCCCCCCCCCTCTCACACCGGTACGGTCCACAACTCCGCTGTGCCTCCACGCCCCACATATCTCCGCTGTGGCTGGCACGCTATCGTCGATTGACTTGATTCAAACGTGTCTTTCCCTCCGTCGCGCCCACCCGCGTTTGCTTCCGTTGTTTCGCCGCAGTAGATTGGAGGAATCGCTCCGCATCCAGCACAGCGGCGGCAGCAACAGCAAGAGCAGCAGGGGATGCGGAGACGGCGACAGTGGGGCTGGAGGCTGGGGTAGCAGCGCCGGCGGCGGCTGCGGCAGGGAACTGTCCTTGGGCAATGGTTCGACGAGTGGCAAGGACGAGAACAAGGCTGCTGCTGATGCCGCTGCTGCGGTGGCGGCGTTGCGGGAAGAGGAAGAGGCGAACCGCACCATCGCCATGCTGGCGGGGACGGCAGAATTCCTCAAGTTTAGCCGCCTGCTACTCCTGCTGAGCGAGGCAATCTCCGTCTCCAACTCGGTGACGTCGACAAATGCAGCAGCAGCAGCGGCGGCGACAGACGGAGCGACTTCGAACCGCCGGAATGCCGGCGGCGGCGGAGGCGGTGGCAGCCAAAGTACTGCCCAAGAAGACCTCGCGTTGACCAAGTCGAAAATGCCGCCGCCACCGCCGGTGGCCCCTGGTGCAGCCGGTGTGCCGGAAATTCTGACCGCTGTCGCTCGCGCCCGGGGCTCCGGGCGGAAGCGTAGGTAGGGGTACCCCCCCACCTACTCTGCTTGTTGCGTTTCCCCCATTTGTATGCGCGTTGTCGTGCAGCAGCGTTGTGAACTTTTTTTTTTGGGTGCCGTCCGAAACGCCCTCCGAGGATTTCGAGTTCACAAACCGGGGGGCCCAGTGGCTGGTCCGGAGGGGCGAGGGGATGGTCAACCCCCTGGTTTTTGTTGATGCCGCGCTGGTTCGGGCGCCTTGCTCGCGGGGCCATGGCGGTTCTTGAGGTTCAGATGGGCTCCGTCTATGGTGTGGGAGCATTTGATATCTTGGTGCAGGAAGGTTGTCCCTGAACAGGTTCGCTCTCAGTAGAGAGTTTTTTCTTATTGTCTTGCTTCTTGAGGAAAGCTGCGTGTGGTCTGTCTCCCTTTCCCATCCCCTAAGGGTAACCGAAACAGAAGGGAAGTGGGTGAGGTTGGGCATAGTTTATCCTTGTGTTTTTTCTTTGCTGCTTCGTGTACGGGCGGGTAAATGTTAGCGCTACTGCAAAGCAAGGATGTGTCTATTCTAGGCCTCTTCTTTCCTGCTCTTTTCCGGGAAGGGGTGGAGGCATGGCATGAGTGGATGATGAATGACACGTTGGCAAACCAAACCAACGTGTTCTACCTTGCATGTGATCCCCATTTTTCATGCGCACATGCTAACATTTCTGTTTCCCAATGTTCTAGGTGCAACAACGCAGAGGGAAAGACGGGTTTTCCGACGAAAAGCCCAAACGTTACTTCTGTAGGTTTGTTTTGGTACATATTTGCAGATTGTCTGAGAAAGTGGTAGGAAAGTTGTAGAGATTCTGGTCTGGGTAGATAGAGCAAGAAAACGGTACTCAAGACAACAGCACCGGTGCATGCTGGTGCTACAGCGGGAGTCGAGGACTATCGACCCCACGTATTCATACGCGCATTTTTTTTTTTTTTTCATGCTGTCGTGCGTTAAGAGTGGACATGTCGAAACATGTCGCCGTTAGTTTTCTCTTGCCTGGTGTTGTGTAATGCTTCGACAATACTTTGAGGCGAGAGTCCCCGTGACTTGAGGCCACATTGGTGGGTGTATTCTTCCGTATATGTTTTAGATCAAGCCCTCTAATTATCCCTACTTGGGAGTACACTTGTTGCGTGTAGATCGGTGTCGTAACGTTTGGTCTAGGCTTCCGTTGATTTGTTGTGTGTTCCATGTGTTCTGCCGGAGTATCCGCTCCTGCGTCATCACTATATGTATGTAACCGGTCTGTTGCTATTGGCCACCAGAGCAAACTGTTGTTGCTTAGATATTCTGCTGCTGCTGCTGCTGCTGTGTATCGTGTCGTTCTTGCTGACTGCGGGCGGAACAAACTGTCCTCTCAGTCTGTACAATTTGCCGATTGTCCGAAGTTGATTTTCCACGGTAGGTTATATTTCGATTGTTGCTCTGGCGGTCGGCTGTTGATGTGCGATAAGACGCCTCACGTTCCGATATCGTATTTCAGTATCCATGGGGCACTTGGGTAACGGTAACGATATGTATGGCGCGCATGAGTCCTCCTTCCCCTCCGGGGGAGCAGTGCTGGTGGTCTGGTACACATGTCCTGCCGTGTCAGGTTTGTTTTTGTGAGTAAAATGTGGATGGCAAATATTGTTGGTGGTAATCCGATTTATCCTTGCCAATCAGGAGATTTTTGGGTGACACGAAGTGTTCATTCATCTTTGGTCAGGGTGGGCAGTGGGTGTTGTCTTGTCGCTGTCGCCATGGAGAGGAAAATATATGAAAAAGTATCTCATAACTTCTTGTGTCTACGGTGTTCGCTCCCGTGGGATGTCTTCTCTGTACGTGTGTTCGCCCTGCTGTGAGGGAGACGCCGTGTGACTGGGGCACAACGAATAGCAATGAAAGTCGCAATCCAGACAACATTGTCAAGTTCGTATTAATAGTATAGTTTGGTTCCTCCTTCCTTGTCTTGGTCTCCAACGGGCAGCCTAAATCTCCGCGATAGCCTTCACGAGTCAGTCGTTTATCCCTTGTACTTTGTAAGCCGATACTGCTACTGTAAAGCATCGGCGTCTTGTCCCCCCCGCCAGAGCTCGGACCGAACAAACCAGTCGTTCCCACGCCATTAACAAGGCAAGGCCCGTCTACCGGAATGACACGGGACGACGTGGCTGTAGTCGCGAACGTTGTCGCTGTTGTTGTTTGCACGTGTGATGCAAGGGGCTGTATCGGTTTGCGCAGGAGGTATAGTAAATGAGTCGTATGCAGTAGTGTGGCTTCGAAGATGCTGCGGTTTGAATCCAATGTAAGGCGAGTGTTGGTGCGGGTACTCGGTTCAAGGAGCGTTCCTGTGCAGACGTGCCCGGACAGTCTGCAGCGCAGTGCCCAATCAGGTGGAGCCTGTCCAGTGCAAAGGCGCAACCGACGTTGTCCACATGGTCAGAAATTTGTCAGGCACGTTTCAGTGGAGCCCTAAGTTTCCACCTCCCTGAATAGCTTTCCCATTTTGCCTTGGGATTTTCACACATTCGTTTCGCAGTATGTCACATTCTTCTACAACAGTGTCGTGTTGTGTTATTGAAGTATTGGAATAGCAGACTTTTGAGTTTCAGCTGCACGTCGTTCCCTCGACGAGGAAAAGCCACGTTGAAGCAGCAAGTGATGCAGATCTTTCGTGACGACGCCCCGCGTTTTCATTATCCAACCACTGGTGGGGAGTGAGGACTCGGTTTCACACCGACCGTCACTTACGACACAGAAAAAAAATCGCTCGATACGAATCTCATCGACAAGCGTGTACTAAGGAGTGAAAATTGTCACGTGTGGCCACGCCAAGGTAGCACTATATGTCTTGATGGAGTCGGGACTCGGTTTCACACCGGGACTCGGGACACTGAAAATCGATGTCCTGCCTATAATAATGCCATGGGCAAGAAATCAAGGAGTGAACTTCACGACAGCTAGCTGATGGGGGCCGTGGGAACACAACGCATTTAGTTTCGTGCCCATTTGAGGTAACTTTGGAACGTTTCGCACGGTGTCGTAAAACAAGGTTCTGAAGCCCGATAGGGATTCAGTTTCTGTCGCCGATATTCTCAGAACCTAAGATACTCGCTCCACCTGATCCGTTGCGCAAGTTGCGGGGCATGCATGCGCACGTCGTCTCGGAATCTCCCCGCATGGTCTCACCTCTTTCTTGCTCTCCTTTCGCAGTCAGTCGTTGAAGCGAGATCGCAAGCGGGCGAGGTTGAACTCCGCCGTACTTTCCCTTGGTGCAGCCGCTATCTTTGCGCGGAGTTCTATCGCTGCTACAAAGATATGATGGCACTCATGGTCCGCCACCATGGCACGGAACACGGAAGGGTGAAAGCTCCAACGGCCCAAATCCTGGCGACCTTTGAAGCGCTGCTTGCCCTGTGCGTGAGTGCGTGCTTTGCTCGATCCTGACGCAAGGATAATGGTCTGCACACTCCTTGCAGCAGGCAAGGAGACGCGGGTGGTCGTTGGCCATCATCACTGCTGCTCTTCGTCGTGGGCCACCATCACTACTGCTATAACCAACCAACCTCATCAGTTGGCCCAAGGTTGACCCATGATTTTTGACAACCTCCTGCGTAGCGGCGCCAGCAATTATCTGCTGCGACCCCAGCAGGATCACGGAGAGGAGACATTTGAAGAAAGCGGCGGCGGCGGCGGCGGCAGCAGCAGCAGCAGTGATGGTGGTCGAACTGGATTGGCATGTGGGTAAGCAAGAGGCTGCTTTGCTGGAACCTTGCTTTGGTAGATTCTTCGCGTGCTGTCATCAAGTCTAATTACATTGTACGCCGTTTGTTTACATTATTAGACTAGTCTGTGATCGCTGTTTGCCGTCTGCCGCCGCCCCCTGGTAGGATTGCCGTTGAAATTGGAAACACAGCTTCGTTGAAGTATCGATACGCGTAAGACTATTCAGAGGATCTCAGCAATCTACCAGCTGTGTGGTGGAGCGTTGGGAGGGGCCGGGAGAAAACGAGAGGGAGAGAGATAGAGAGAGTCATCAGTCAGCAGTTGTCTACCACAGCAGATCGAAGGCGGTTGGTTGGTTGGGTGCCGCGTTCAAGCATGTTTTTGGCATCAGACATCCTCGTGCAATCGAGACAGACAAAAGATGGAGATGCGCGAGACCGAGAAGAGAGAGAACGACAACAAGGAGGAAAGAACGATACGTCGATGTAGGCGGGAAGAACGTGTATCGATACATGTGGAACGCAGCAGTTGCTGGACGAAGCACTAAAGTGCTTTCTTTGTTTGCTGGGGCTGTCCCCGTGTGAACCCGTTCTGCCCCGCACTGAGTACCGTATCTAGTCTACAATGTAGAACGATCCACCGAAGAAGGTATGCATAATGCAGTCTAGATACCGTAGCCTGGTTGTGACACAGTTGTTCGTTCCCTTTTGCAGTCAATAATACTGTAGTCGAATGGATCTTGTCATGCGTAGCATACGTATGCATTCCAGAACAATGTGGTACTTGTAGTCTATTTGAGTCCACTGGATAATCCACGGACGACCTGCGACAGCATCGCTGACAAATAAATCATTTTCGGTCCATCGTCTCGACGAACGACCACAACAGCAACACGTACAAAGTAGACTACTTAGTCTACAGCAGGAGTGCACACTTGCTGTGTGTTGCTGTAGCTTCATGCCGGCGTGAGAGGTGCCCTGTGTACAACCGAACCCTCCCGAGAGCGAGCTACTGCTGTAGGTCGTTTGCCTCCACTGCGCAGGCACGAAGCAGAGCAGCAGCACTCGATGCATGGGAGATTCGCCTCCGAAAGTTCGAACGTTTTGCACTGCTGTACTTCCGACAGCAGTGGTATGCATTATTTAGAGCTGCTGTAGTCTAAACTACACAGTACATTGGTGAGGGTAGTTCTCGTTCTCCATATGCATATCATAGCTCGTCGCCTACCTGGGCCTTGAAGGGACTCACTCCTGTCCATCCGGCCTATGATTCATGCATTGTGTCAAGTTTATCACTTAAAATCTACGTAGGCAGCTTGTTGCTGCGGCGACCGCGTTCTGAGGAACAAACGAATGGAACCAAAAAAGTATGTATGCACGCTACGTGAGAGAGAGCAAGGAGGTTTTGAAATGCTCGTCCCCTGTCTTTCGATGTGTACATTCATGAAATGTTTGCTTTGGCGTCCCTAGGTCAACGCCTGCAACCGGACGGTGGACGAAGAAGGAGCACGCCGATTTTCTCGTTGGACTAGAGGCCTGCGGGAAGGATTGGATGGAGATCTCGTGTCACTTCGTCTTCTCCCGAACGGCAACACAGATCCGCACGCACGCCCAGAAGTACTTCACGAAGGTCAACCGAGGGCAGTCCTTTCCCGAGCAGGTGTGTAGGGTAGAAATAAGTTGTTCGCCCATTGGCAATAGACTACAGTATACAGTAGTGTAGTTTCTCCGATACAAAATTTCAAAATTTGACCTTGCGGTCAACGAGGGAAGGACCGGCCGAATACTTGTCGCGAAAATATCAAGGTAGTTAAATATACGCGGATAATACAGCTTCTGTGTGGACTACTGTGCTTTCCTCTTGTGAATCCCCCGCTGGTGCGTCCAGCATACAGTACAGCCGAAATGTGCAAGGACCGACGCGAGAAATAAATGGGACGGGAAAAAAAGTGGAATTAAACTACTGCAGTTTTTTTATGGTGGAACCAAGTTGATCAAAGATAGTTTCTCGGACGACACAAAAAATGTGTAGGCTATTTTGAGTAGAAACAACTTGTGCGCATCGTAGCATCGTAGTAGTTTCTCGAATGCGAGGAACAAGCAATCACCACCCGAACTACTGTCAGTCGCAGTACATTTAAGGTGCCGAGAGAAGCAGTCCAGTAGACCCTTGTAGGGTACTTTACACGCTCTCCTCGGTGAGTTCCCGGACGCTTTCCTTGTCGACTCACGGTCGGTCTATGCTGCTCTTGGCGTCGTGGTCATGCTGTTGTTGTTGTTGTTGCTGTTGTTGTTGTTGTGATGCGTCTTTTTTTGTTTTGGCGTATTTTCCCTTCTCGAGTGAGGCTGGAAAGAGTCTTCTTGACATTGATATCTTGTTTTTTCGAGATCTGCCAACCTCTGAAGCATGCTGTCCACGGTGGATCGCATCAAGCGTGCTCCTGACCGGAAAAAAGAAAGAACGGCATGCGTCGACAATGGCGGTAATATTCGTGACAACAAGCACCAACGCCCTTGTTTTCGGGGTGAGTGGTCACCAGCGGAAGAATTACGACGTACGACAGATGAAAACCTCACCCCCAACAACCACCGTCACCCCCGTTTCTCCAGCCGTACGAGAGTGTCCCGGGCAAGAGGAACACCTGCGATGACCGTTCCGGGTCTCCTGGCGATGAAAGGCACTGTCTGAACAGGCCTACCCGCAGCAGCAGCAGGAGCAGCGTCTGCAACAGCCACTCTTCCTCCGGGGAAAGCGTTGATCTTTCATCCAGAACCAGGTTGGTCTGCCGTTTTTCTCCCCTCACATTCGGCTCCCTTTTATTGTGGCTTTGATATGTATATCTTTTTCAGTGGGGATTGTTCGCCGGACGTAAACCTGCGTGGGCAAGTTTCTATCGGCTATAACACGTTGACCCTCGTGGAAGTCAAAACTGCGCGTTTCAACGCCGACCCTCCAATGTTACTTTCCTCGAAATCTTGTCTGGTTCTTTAACATTCTTGACCTTTGCAAATTAGGTCCGGCGTTGCTAAAAGGAAGCACGCGGCGCTCGCGCAAGAGGAGCAGCGCCGAAAAGAGCATGATGAGGACCAGCAGCACCAGGAGCGGCCGCACCAGGAGCTGCAGCATCATGAGGATCAGCATCATGAGGATCGGCAACATGAGGAGCCGGAGCTTCAGGAGCAGCAGGATCAGGAGCAGGGGCAGGAGCAGCAGGATGATCCGCGGAAGGTGGGTCGACCCTACAGCGCTGGATGCGTATCACTAGTGGTAGCCGACGTCGTGCGGCATGGCCGACTGAAAACATGTTGTTATTGACGGAGGTCTCGCCGTTGCGTGGGCATGGGGTTGTTGTTGTTGTCGTTGTTGCTTTCGTCCTCTTCGTCATCGTTGATGGTGTTCAAAAGTTCAACAGCCATTCTGGTCTCTATCATTGAGGAGTCATCGACCAGACCAGAATGTAAACTGAAAGACCATGTGGTGATGATTGTTCGACGCCCGCGCGGTCGAGACTTGGTCATCCTCTCTAGACTATCTATTTTCGTCTCTCTATACTAATAGCCGGGCGGATTGTTGTCGTGGCCAACCTCGTACTTGTTGTACTTCGCTCTGCAAGCGAAAGCGGGTCTACCTCGGACTCTGCACGTATTGCCGAAGAATCGGATCGCTCACAAAAGCACATTGCCGCCATTATTCATCGTTGTTCTTATTCTTATCAGGCCAAGGGGTTGCCGGGATCGACGTCGGACCATCCGTGCCAAGGTCTCTACCCCTACCCGGTACCCGTGCTGCCCTCACCGCTGGCACTTGGGCTTTTGTATCCCGAACAGCAAAGCCGGCCGCCAGGCGTCGAGTGGCCCGCCCCTCTCCACGACGGCGGTGGGATGATGGCACGGTTCAAGGAACCGCGGGTGAGATGACGTGTGTGTGTGTGCAATTAGCATCGACCGCGCTGGCCGGCTGACCAATGCGAAGATGTCAGTCTCAGTTCTGCCGCTAAAAAATGCAAAATGTGTTTAAGTTTGTTTCATCCATGCTGCATGCTGCAAACACGTACGTTGGGTGCAGTTTGTTTTCGGTGAGACGAGACGGTAATCACCAAATGGAAAACTCTGTTTGTGATTTTTGCCGAAAAAAGAGAAAGCAGACTTGCGAGGAAGAAGTGCAGGACAGATACCTTCTCATTCGTGTGCCAAGAACTTCGTTCAGTCCTCACCACAGATATTCTCAGTGCGCACGTACTGTGGTCCAGCTCCTGGTCGTTTATCCCCGACTGCCACACAGGCCTCGAGCAGTACATCAAGCTAACATCGGTGTTTTATCGGCTGGTCCATACAGGACGCACGACATGAGGACTTCGGCGACGAATGCGAGCAGGCCTTCTTCACTGTCCCGGACGTCGCGGAGTGCAACTTCGGTTCCAGCCCGCTGTCAAGCTTCCTGGAAGATACACCGGGGGCGGAGTACTTCGGAGTTCCGCCGACAGATCGGCATGGTGCTGCCCCTGCTATCGCTGCTGCTGCTGCTGCCGGTGATACCGCGGGCGGACCTGGCAGCAGGCATGGTGGAAGCGGCGGCGATGGTGAGGAGTTGGACTCGACGCTCGCGGAAAGTCGCTTGGGGGGGGGCGGGGGGTGGCATGACTGGTATCCCACCGAGGGGTGGGTGGACAAGCAGCAGGTGGGTCGAAGCATGAGATTTTTCTTCTTCGCTGTTGTGCGGTTTCGTTGGTGGTTGAAGCACAGGCGGCCACGCAAAGCGAATGGCCAGGATAAACTCGGATGCACATCTGCGCAGATCACAAGCGAAAAATTATCCACGTGGTGGCCCGCTCCCTATGGAGGTTGCTTTCTAGCCCGCTTTCCATCCCGCCCTCTAAGTCCGTGCGATATCTAGCCTACGGGGTGGCGAGGTGTAGTAAGCGTTGTGGGTAATGTGCTACGTGTGTATTGTGCTGCCCATCTCCCTATTCGACGTGTGGTATTCGTTTTTTCAGCATCCATTCCCGCTAGAGCCATGCAAACACGAAAAATGCCTCCGTACTGCGGCGAAAACCTGCATGCAGTGATCAGAGTGTTTCCGCTTCAGGTCTCTTCATAACCTCGCTTGTCTGAGCGCTAATCGTGGACGGAAGAGCAAAAAATCTTGACGAAGAAGGACGTCAATCGCTTCATCATCCATTTCCGTGTGGAGGGTTGGTTCCCGTGATGAAATGTCGGTACTGCGTGAGGCGTCCTAAGGCGTCCTAACGAGTTTCGCGCCTGAACCATTGCTGCTTGTTGTTCACTATTGTGAGGTGGCACACAATGTCGAGACTGCTGAAGCGTCTTGTGGTGAAATTTATTTGAACAGGAGGTTCTACGGGTTCACCACCGCCGGCAGCAGCAGCAGCAGCAGCAGCAGCAGCAGCAGCAGCAGCAACAAAAACAACAACAGCAACACGTGCAGTGGAACTTCGACTGAGGCGATGTAGCACGAACTAGCCTCGATGGGGACACAACGCAGTGTGGCCGTGGAGGAGAATACCTACGTGTTGTCGTCGTGTGATCCCGATGGCAGCGACGGAGGTGCCAGGAAGATGAGAACCGAGTGTTGGTCTGGGTTCATGAAAGTGCCCTCAACGGTCGGCAATAGGCTTTGATTTTGGTGCCGTCCTTGCCCGAGCGTTGAAGCCGTTACGATTCATGAACGGAATTCCTTTGGTTTCGGTCATGAGTGCGTATTGCTGTTTTCTTCCTGGTTTTAGCTTATTATCCTTTCGGCGAATGGCGGAACCCAAACGTCCACCAGCCAGAGCACTCGCAGTCGGTGGGAATGCATGCACAGACGGGAAAGACTTATTAAAACATCTCCTCTACTGTGCTCGCTTTCATGGGGTGTTGCGTGTGGTGATATGTCCACGAGGCATGGTGGAGGGGGTTCAACGCGCAATTCCGTAGATTAACGTTTGGAGGATTCACAATCGTTCCACGTTGTTTGGGATGACTGCCCCATATAAAGACCGTCGTTTATGGGCATACGCTGGCCAAAGCACGCAAGCCAAATGATGGGCACATCGGCTGGGAGGAGACAGTCTGTATATCTGTATCTTGGAGATGAGAGCTCCTACGCGTTCGTTGCTCACGCGGCACAACTTTCGATACATGGTCTACGGCATGTTTTCGTGTTTTCGTGTGCTTCGAGTAGACGTTCGTGTGCCATCATATGGATCGTGATACATGCGTGACGTACGTTTGTTTGTGTGGCATGTCGTTTCTTGTTTTCAATGAGGAAGTGTGAGTTGTGCTACCCTTACGCCAAGAGAGGCTGCCGGGTTCATATTTGTTCCAAACGATACTGGTTGCACAACAAGGTCACATCTACAGGGCTTGTAGGACGTGCATCTGGAGTCTCTGGTAATTTGGAGTGTACGGTAGCTGTTTGCTCGGATTGTGATCTTCACTTTTTGCGAATACTAAACATTTAACGCTTGTTACAGCGAATATGGGTTTTACACGCACAGAAGGAGGCTGGGTCCTTGTTCTCTGCCGTCTTTTTTGTGTTTTCTTTGTGTTTGAATTATTGTCTTCGATGATGGTTTTGTGTGTGAAAGCGCGAGTGTACCCGCCAAGGGTTTGGTGAAGAATCGCATTCTTCCCCCCCTTTTTTTTTGTTGAATGGATGTGGTATCACAATGAACCACCGGAGTCGAAAATTGTATCGGCTATATTACGAAGTCTAATTTTCATGTGTACGTTCAGTTTTCTGGGCACGCTTTGGTGTACCCGAACCCGCCGTATGGATAGGTTGCCGTCGCTTGCATGCTGCGTAACGCGAATGCTTTTTAGTACCTCTTCCTCCAGACGGAAAAGGCGGGGGTCTGTATCACACAGGAACGAAAGACTAGTTCGTCGGTTAGGGGACATTGGGGTTACGTGTACAGAATAGAGTAGGTAGATAGATATATCGCTCAGGGGTCGTTCTTTGCACTTCTAGGTACGCTACTCATTGAGGCTGTATGAGCGTGTTTCACATAGTCATTGGAGATGTAAGGTTAGGAATCTGTCGGATGCCACGACATGAACATGAATGAACGCATGCCACTCGTTTCATTAGCATGCGGGCAAGGCAACAGCACACAATTTCTTGTGGCACTCTTGGAACTACTACAGGGAGAAGGACGGGTGGAGCAAGCGCTTCGTGCTGCGTTCATGGACGGTGAATGTCGCGTGTTGCTTGTGTAGCACACCCCCGCAGATAGATGTTGGTTGAGAAAGGTAGAGCAAGCTGGACTACGACAATGGATATCGCAGCTCAGAAAACTCCCGTTGTTGTTTATGACCGCCACCTGATGCGGCTGATGTCCCACCGATGCGGCGGATCTTTGAATCATTTGTGAGCACCGGTTCGATTTCCTCCTCACCGAAAGAACGACACGTGTGTGTTTTCACCACGAAGGAGGGTGAGGACAATCACACCCCGGCTTATCCTTGACCACTACACGCCTGGAGTATCTGCGTCGAGCAACCGGTTTTCCATCTCGAGATCAACGGGGCACGGCTTTATGCAGAGGAGTTGCCGTGTCTCGGCTTGTTTCCCCGCTTTTGCATCGCTTCATCCAGAGGATGACCAACTCGCGCCCCAGCTCCTGTTGTTGCGAACTACGACGTACTCACGCGCACGTTCGCCCCTGGACTGGAAGCTGTGCAGTCCACCGACACAGGTCTACCCCTCGTCGTGGCGCCGACATGCTCAGCGCGTGCTTTGCCTTATGGGCTTCCACTACAAGGCAACACGCTACCCACGAAGGTATGTATCACCCTGAACACCCTCAAGTTACAGGAGACAATTATCGCACGTCGACTTCATTTCCGGTTTGACGACTTGGCGTCGGGCACGTAGGTGTACCCCCCCCTCGTGTAGACCCTAGCGAACTCTTCTGCGTTTGGCGGAGGGTATTTGAGCGCCTTTCTGTCTCGAATGGAAAGCGAGCGACGAGTGGGCAGGAGCAGCGATAGACTGCAGATAATATGAAGTGGAGGTGCCGTGGCTGCCCAAGGAGTTCAAGTGGTAATGGTTACCATCAACACTGATTTGTTCTATGTGAAACTATTCACATTGCAAGTATGATCGCGTGATGCCGAAGGCCGCAACAGAGCCGAATCAATTTCTGGGAGTCGACAACCCTGCATGGCGTTGTTTTCAACACTATCAGCGGTTGGGCCAGTTGTACGAAGGAAAGGTTGGTACCATCGGCCGTCGTTCATTCGGGCATCATAATGGTGATCTCGATGATGTTGTTGTCCCTACTTTCGTACCCGGGATCCTCTCCAAGCTCGTCAAACATTGCTCGTAAGTCTCCCTTGTGCTGCCGGAACAATCTCTCGTACGGCTCGAGCTCCTCTGCGGACGCCTTCTCTTCCACGTGCTCCTAATATGTTGCAGGGGGCATGATGCTTGCGTTTGCGAGAAGGATGTACAAGCGTACATCACCCACAAGAGCAGAAGGGAGAAACATCGCATGTATTTCATATACATGGCTGATTTCAGCCCACCAATAACGGAAAAATTCGTTTCCTTTGTCGATCTACTCCCACCTTCCCTGCCTTATCCTGCAGGAGTTGCTGCCAAACTCTGGATATGTACTTCGTATATTATTTTATTGCTAGAGTCAGCTTGGAGTTGGTTTAAGTGGTCAACAGTTCTACCACTGCCCCCAAAGACCGAAGAGATGATACCACTGTGAAGTACAGCCTAAACAAGACGTCAGCGAGAATAGCCTAAACAAGACGTCAGCGATAATACCTCTCGTTCTGACCTGTTGATTGCGGAAGGGGTAAGCAGAGCAGAACAAGGTTTGTCGCACCACTGGATGAAGCAAAATTCGATGGCAAACGTATTTTCTTCTGTAGAATATTGTAGCTTGTAGTATATCCATCCTCGACGTCGGCGTACACTAGTAATCGGTCTGCGATTGGTGTTATTATGGTCTTCACATTAAAAACCACGATTACACCTGGGAGCCCCTACAACAGGAGTGTTTTATGTCATTCCAATATCCCCGATCTGCACATATCGACGGCACACCGCACCACGTTGTTGGTCTATACACGGGAATCACACACGCATCAGGTGTTGGTTTAATAGTCTAGATGATAAAATTGATGAGAGCTGAAGTGGCCCGCCTCTGAGTGGTAGATAAAATGCACAAGCAATGTTTTCCTTTTCGAACGGACCTGAGGAACGCCAGTGTGTCGCAGGCTTTTTGCCCCCTTGCTCAGGTCTTCCGCACCAAGCAGCACCGCCCTGTCATCTTTAGAATCTGCCTTCGACTCCATTCTTGTATAAGTAAAACAGCCGACCACCGAGAGTTTAGGCTTGTCACTAACCCCACGCTGCAACCCCGGCTTTGGTTCCGTCGCAGGAGGGTCCAAGGTTTCCAAGCGCCACGCAGCAGATGTAGGCGGCGAATCTGTGTATGTACACCCCAACGATGCTGGCGATATAATGCCGTCGTACTGGTATGCTCCTGCGCCGGGGGTGTCGTAGCAGTACCAAAGCTAGCCACCCATAGTGACGAAACTGCTGGTGTGCCTAACGCTGCACGTGGTTGGCAGCGAACGCGGGAAAAGCGTCGTTGTGCGGCGAAACCAGGAACGGTTGGAGGTTCCTGTTGATTACTGTTTTTTGATGTGTTGAACAAGAGTTAGCACCACTTCAAGCCAGTCGATCGTCTCCAGTATAGTATCTTGGATTGCTCCACGCGGGGACACATGTAGTGCCCCATTTTGGTTTGAGGCAGCCCACTACGAGCATTCATGCAAGGAGTCCAGAGGAGTGGCTAGAGGGGTAGCCCTCTGCTGAACCGCGAGAGATCGTCGAAGAAACTGTAGTATCCCCGCTCCCGCTGTTGTATGCCTGGGTGTACTCTTGGAACTCCCCAGATGCCAACACATACATACACACATCCATCATGCCATCGTTGTGGCCAACCGCGGCCACGGAAATAAGTATGACGTGTAGATGGGGATTGGCGACAGCCACTATACTGATCCGAGCTGCTGCAGGCTTATCGGTTACTGCTAGACCGACGAGGTACGGAAGGGTTTGAACTGAACGTCCATAGCAGACGATCAGCAGTTCACTCGCATGTCACATTTTCGCTCCAGACCAGTAGTACGCCGGCCACTGTCATTTGCTGTCAGCTATCCCTCGAGCAGGCTAGCCAGTGCCGTTAGTCCAAATCGTAAAGGTCGGACGGCCCCTCTCGATAGGCTGCAACCACCAAAAGCGGTCGACATACAGGTTGCGGAAGATACCACACCCCTCAGACCGATTTTCAAATTTCAAACCTCAATTATCCTGCAGCAGAAACAGCGGTGATGATGGTGCCGAGAGTGGTGGAGTCCTCACCTTCTCGTCGACAGCTTGCTAAAAGCAAAAAGCATCGGTTCGTCTTTTGGCGCCCTCTTCGTGTGGAGTAACCGAGCTACCGGAAGATCGGTTCAGGGGGTGGGGTATCTTATGCAACCCATGGTACATGTCACCGCAGAGTTTCAGTCATACCGCGGTATCTTCCCCGCGCAGCCCCACCCCCTCCACTGGTGCACAGATGTCGAACCCATTGGAAGTCAGCAAACACCTCTCTGTCTCCAGCGCTTTGTTAGGGCGTACACACCAATTATCGACATTGGCAACGTGTGGGGGGCGACGCAGATCGGCCTTGTGAATTCGTTATCGTGGTGCATGAGTAGGGATCGCCCCTGTAGGAGGGGGAAGAGCAACCGAGCGTACAGGAGCGAAACAACATTTCTCTTGGGTTTGTGATCCCATCACAGAAAAAACTATGCTCTTATCTATTCGATTTTGACCTCAAGAAGTCGTGTGTGTTTGTGTTGAGAACCCGGTATCTACACCGACTCTCAGGCTGGGTTTCACAAGAGCGCCAACAGATGGTCTGGCGCAAGACAGCAGTGTCCCGAAGTCTAGTGAAGCGGGCATATTTTTCAACTTCGGAGACCTATCACGGCTCGACGGATAAAGAGTGTCTCTTGTTCCTGTACAGCAACGAACATGCACATATTGAGAGAGCAGTTTTTTTTTTCCGAGCTCATAGTATTTCCCCCTCCTGCCTGGCACAGGACAAATGCGTCCTCCTTGGTCTGGAGAACGAGAGGGGAAAGATTTGGCAGCGGGGGGCCGCGGATGGCAGCCGGGGTGGTGGTGGCCGGAGACAGCGTCGGAGATGCCCCGTTCCCAACGCCAGAACCAACAGCATCGACGGTAGCGAGGGGAGATGGCACAAGTAGTCGGCCGCTGCCGCGGTTGAATGCCCCTCCGCACGACTATGTACGACATGCCTACTCCCCGTAAGTTTCGCACGTCACGTGCTGTCGATGGAGGTGTTCACGGCAAAATAGCGTTTTTCATTTTTTTTTTCGTTCGGATAAACCCGTTCAAATGCATGGCTCTGTTGAACCCCACGTTTTTTTATGTTGGTTTGCGGTAATGCGAGAGTAGCAACAACGAAGACCAACCGAACCAGCACGGACAAGCGACTCCCGTGCCAGCAAAAAAAAGCAAAAATGTGGTACGCAATAAAGCATGTTCGGGGCCGCCGGTGGCGAACCTCGCTGACCAACACAACGGAACGCTCTCGCTGCACCCCCCCCCCCCCCCCCAAGGGGACATTGACCGTTGACCTTCGAGAACGTACCCAAAAACTTCGGAAGGTAAACGATGAAGACGCAAACTTCAAATGTGATTGCGGCTTCGAGTGCGAAGACCGTGTTCATGTAGTCCGACATGGGGCATATGAAGTGGATTGAAAAGGCGGGAAGTGGTGTCGGTAGGAATGATATCGGTAGGGTAGATTGACTAGGGAAGACAATTTTGAGCCACCTTTGGCAAAGTAGGAAGGAACGATTGGCCATCGGTGATCGGGTCCTGTGGGAACAATGCTCCGTCCTCTCGAGGACGCGTGGTCAATGGTCTAACCGCTAAGGCATGCGAAACATAAGAGTACGCCCCCCCCCCCTCTCCCGCTCTTGCTTGCCATCTGAACAAACCACCCTGCCTTCCCTGCTCCTTCCTCTCTCTCGCTCCTCTGTCTCATTCTCTCTCGGTTGCTAACAGTCGGGCAGGCCCCCTGTGGAGTTCCGTGGCGGCGTTTCTAGGATGGACGGAAGAACTGGCGAGGGGTCTCATAACGTTCGGAGGCGTTTACTACAAGCCGGGTGGTGCACCCGCCTTGGCTAAGCCCAAAAGGGAACTAGATCCTGACCGAGAAGGTTGGTGATCTTTTTTCACGCGGGGAAGAGGGAGGGAGGGAGAGAGAGGGAGAGAGAAATGACAACCCTTTTTTGAGAAATCTCACTTAATAATGGTTTGAGATACTATGTACTTCAATACACCACTTGTGTGTGTGATTGCGCATCTTGTCGTCGCATTAAGGTTGTGGACAGAGAGAAACACGTTTGTTTCTGTATTGAACCAATGAACGTTTCAACGTCCCGACCGACGTCTTAAAAGAAACACCAGCGCACCTGAGGCGATGGTTGTCTGCTTAGCGGCGGGGGGGGGCGAACGAACGTTGCAGCCACCACACGTACATCAACTCAAGCACTTGGTATCCTGCACCGCCTGGCGCTCCACCTCTTTTCATCCTTTCCTCGAAAACCAGCTAAATGCTGGTGTCCATTCCGATACGCCTACTGGTTTCGCTTCCCCGCACGACAGCTGAAGGTGGCTTTGTTGGTTGCGGAAGGCACTAAATGTCAGCGGCGTAAATCGCCACCATTGTCGATAGTACTCGCTGATGCTGCTGACGCTTTTCCTGCTGCGCTCCTCGCGCGTCGTGCCACTTCAGTGGAGATCGGGGAGTACCTCCGCATTTTCCCGGAGCCCCGAAGGTATCCCGCCTTCCTCGGCGTTGACTGGGAGTCCAAGGTAAATAGTTGCGCCCACCTATTGCATCAATGGTCAACGGGTTCTAGGATTGATGACTACTCTCGTAGCCCATCGGTGGAGTGCAGCCCGCTGGTGCCGTCTCCGGGCACTGGGTGGCATCCTTGACGCTTGGCTTTCCTTCAGGCACCAAACGCTTCAGGTCGTCCTGTTCGTATCATGCGTCTTTAGAAAACAGTGTGTGGCATTGGGGCGGATAGGTGGGAGATGAAGTACCTTGGAGCTTGTGGTTGTGGGCGTAACACTAGGATACAGGGGGGCCATGATACTTGTGTGCCCCACTTCGCGCTGCAGAAGTACCGCAGTGTTGCTGCTGCTGCTGCTGCTGCTGCTGTTGTTGTTGTCGCTGTTGATTTGTTTGTTTCGATTCCGCTTCTTGGGCAGCGTTCGCGATAGGGTCTCCTTTTTTCCCTCGTCCCAACAAGTGGAACAACCCTTAATACTCCAGCGTCGTGGCAACCAGACCCCATGCTAAAAACAAAAATGAAGGTTGCGGCAAGACCTCCGATTCTCTTGTTCTCGGGGATATGGATTCACTTTTCTTCCGTACATTTTCGCCAAACAGAGAAATCAAGTACAAGACTAACCCGGCTGTTGTTTTTTGCTGCTCACTTGCGGACGGATGCTTGCTGGCGTCGCGCAGATTGTGTACGATTGTGCCGGGGTGATGCTGGTCAACAAACCCGCGGGCGTGCCAGCACATGCCACCGTGGACAACTTCGCCGAGAACATGCTTGCCGGAATCAGGCAATTTGCGGGTTTAGATAGCATGCAAACCCTTCGCGGAATGTTCAGTGTCGTATCGCGTGGGTTTGGTACTTGGTATCAACGATATTATCATCTCGCGCCTGTCCAAAGTGTTCCAGGTTGTGTGTTGTGTAGGACCTGAAAAGCAGGATGAAACGGGCAGGACGTGGTTGTTTGGTTGCCCAAACGGATGAAATGATAACGCTAGCCTTTCGCGGGGCGCCGGTTCTATGCCAGGCAAGGGAGGGCCGTACCAAGAACTCTCGATGGACATGCGGTTCAAAACGCATACAACAGTATTGTGTGATTAGTCTTTTATCGGAAACGATGGGGCACATGGCTCGGAAAACCTAATGCATGAAATGTCCACCCGACTTGATGTATCTACACATGGTGAAAGATACTCCATGTTGAACAGTTTACCAGATGTGATGGGCGCAAGGTTCGAAACAACCCATGCGAGAGCAGTTTACCAGATGGACACATCGACACAACACCTCATATTGCATAGTGTATCAGATGTTGACTATGGTGCATATGGGAATGTCTTGTATGAATCTTGACCACGACGCTTGCTCGTTCTTTTCGGCCGGTTTCATCCACCTTCTATCTTCATGTTTGTTTTTTTGTGTGTGTTTTTTTTTCAGGAGTGTGAGGCCGGATCTGGACTTGCTCCTCCCTCATCGGCTGGACATCGACACCTCGGGTCTCGTCATCGTCGGTGGGATATTTTTGCTGTGTAAATATCGCTGTTTATGCTGCAGTTGTTGCTGTTTATGCTGAGGTGTTGTTTATGCGGTAAGTGTTGCGGTTTACCGTGCTGTAGTTGTTGCTGTTTGTAGGCTGTTGATGTGCTGTAGTTGCTGCATCCTATGCTGCCTAACCCTAGCCCTATGCAAGTTGTTGTTGGTACTGCACCTGTTATTAATGCTGTAGTTGTAGCTGTTTTATGCTGTGCTAGGTGTATTCGTTGCACTCGCAGACACCGTAGCGCGAAATCTCCAGTGACCCGAAATCTTGGGGTACAGGAACTTGGGCTTGCAAGAAATCGAACGAAACACGCCGGCAGAGGTAAGAGGTAAGGGAGAGGGGTGCAAAGACATGATGTTCATGTTGGAAGGGTGGAGAGAGAGAGGATTGCTCGCATACCTGGAGGTTGTGGATCGCACAGATCAGAGAGGGACGCCATAGAGACGGGGAGGGAAACATGGGTGTGTCAGGACGACGACCGGTATGTTCCGGTAGTGGCGAGAACACCGACCGCGTTTGGATGGGAGACTAGTCGTGTCCGAAACACGCCAAGACGGAGGCGGGAGAAGAAGGCAGCATTTTCTCCGCGTAGGCTGTGACGGCAAACTTAAAACGCGCACCCGACCTTCAATGGCGACTCTGTCAAGAGCAGGACCTGCGCGTGGTCTGGAGGCGGATGGTCAACCGGTCACAAAACTATAACGCAGGCAACCAAATGATTTCGCCCGGCATGATGATAGTCTCCCCTCCTCCCCTTTGTGTTGTGTTCCCGTCATTGTTTTGAAAAACTTTTCGCGAATGGGATATGAACGAAGCCACCCTGTTCCGCACGACCATAACCTTCCCCATCCCCTCTATGCTGTTTTTCCCTGCATTTTCTTGTGAAAACCCTAACTTACATGTCTTGTAGCCAAGGGGGCGGGTACCCTTCGATCGATCAACGAGATCATCAAGCGGCCGGGGCTGATCCTTCGGGTACGTTTCGCGACCTTTTTGTCTCTTGGTGACGGAACACGAGTATGTGGTAGTCTTGTCGCTGTTGTTGAGTCCGTCCCCATCTATTCTAGCGCCAGTCTACCTGCGTACTTTTTGTGCTCTCGTCCACGATCGATGTTGGCACCGACGCTATGCGCGCGTCGAAGACCACTGAAGCATCGGGGAGGCAGCGGTGCATTTGGTGGACAAAGGATCATGCAGCTTGGGGACCACGGCGCATGGACCCTTGCGCTGGATTCGCGCCTGTTTTTTCCCTTCTGATGATGATGATATTTTCGTCTCATGTTGTTAAGCCTTTTGGTTCTCATGCCCTCAAGACAAGGTTTTGCTTGAATCCGTGTGTAGCAGTGTCCCCAACCCGACGACCCCCAGCGAGCACAGCGTTATGTGTCGCGAAGCGTGAAGAGTCATCAAGGTATGTATGCCCGACGAACTAAAGATGGGGACACACGTATCCCAGATCCCGACGCTCTTGTCTGGTCTGTTTCTTTCTTTGCCAGACGGGAATCGATTCTCCACGGGACCGAAGGAGGAAGAACAAGGCCCTACGCCGAGCCGCAAAACTGACCAACGGCACCGCCAACATCAAGACCCCCGTCTACCAAGAAGCGTCAATGACAGCGGCGACGGCGGCGTCGGCGGCAGCAGCGGAATCGGAAGCGTTACCAGAAACGTCGCAAGTAGGGAGGGCAATACCTCCGACCCAAGCGTTCGCAACAGGAGCGGGAGGAGGAGGAGGAGCAGCAGCAGCAGAGACAGGAGCTGTGGAAAATGCCGTCGGGGCAATCACCAAGAGATACCGGGCGTTAGTGCAGGTAAGCAACGCCGGGTCGAGTTGGGGCGGGGGGAAGACCCGATAGCCTTCGGGGAGGTCGAATACATTGATTGGTCGAATGACGGCAACGCACCGCTCTTCTCTCAAATCGGAGTTTTGTTATCCAGTCTTTCTTCGTGGCATGTTCGGCACCGGGCGGCAGCACCTGCTTACCTCGACAGCGTGAGGTCGGCCGTGAACTCAAGGGCTCGGGGACTCGCCTGTCCTGGTGTTGTTGCTTCTCTCCTCCGAGAAGCTATTGTTGGCCTAATTTTAACTTGTGCGGAGTCGAAAATCAGCCCTCCCGTCAACCGAGATCTCTCGAATTTTGAGCTTGTGGGTTAGCGCAACCATTTTGTCGTTCGGCACGTCATGCCTTCACACGAGTTTATTCGAGAATCCCGTGGACCTTGGGGGACAAGCTCCTTGTGGAGGGTGGAGTACAGTACTTACCCACTCCGACGACACCTCGTTCACTTGGCGGAAGGTTTTGCCTTCAGACGCGTTACGGTACCCCTACAGTCGTAGCTCCGATCAAAGGGGGTACCTTATTGGAGAGGGCTCCGATATAACTGGGTCGAGGGCCTTTGTCACATTACCCTCTATTTTCGGATGCGCGATTGTAGTTCCATCCTGCTCTCGCCTCCCCTGGGGACAGGTCCACCGGCTTAAGAAACTCCGCCGAAGACGCTTTCTAGGAAATTCCTTTTTTTTTCGCAGACGTTTGAACGGATTAGTTTTCTTGTCTGGCTTCCCTTCTTGTTCCACGTGTTTGCCATGAACTCATCGCGAAAGGGCTGTGCTTGTAGATTGTTCCTCTTCCATGCTAGATGAGTCCAGGGGATTTTTGCAGCTTCAATGCGTCCCTCTTCCCCTGAAGGCCTTCACCGACGACTGCTGCGATACAGAATGGACCCGCAGTTGAGACATGGTATGTCGTTAAGAAGGTGAGGTTCAATTTTTCACGAAAAACAAGAAAGCAGGTGTAACAAGCACACCGCAGGGGTGGATACTACCCAATAGTCTACCATGTATCAACCTGTGCTCGACAATTACGACAAAATACGAAACTAAGCCTCGGCTCGATTTTGACGATTCGTATCTCTGGGCCCGTTCTGTAAACAAGTAGATCAAAAGTGACCCCCCCCCCCCCCCCCCCCCTTTTTTGCTGAAGGTCTTGCCGGGGAGGTCTCCGCTGAAGGCGTCCCCGATCCCCATGACGCACTTCCAGAAGGTTTCCCGGAGGGCCCCGAAGGAGTTTCGACGCGATCGCCCGCCGCAGGTGAGAAACATTAGGCGTAACTACTGAAATTTGTTGTGGCAACTGTAGCTGCTGTGAAAATGTGGTTCTGCATCGTACATGTAGTGAATTGTATGCATGGGCTGCTGCTGCTCCGTATCCACAATCGCCTTGAGACAATCTAAGTGACGAGTCAGAGCGGTTGTAGCAGGCCTAGCCTTGGGTCTGACCTAAACTGCGACATTGGAACCCCGTTACTTCTACAACGCCAAGCTACGGTAGCACTTCGTTCACGCGGAACAATGTTCTCCTTTCGCGATCTAGCAACTTTTGTCTAGCTATTACACCCACACAATACCTATCCCCAGCGATAGTCTTCCCTCCGCACGGCGTGCGCACATGGCACTATTTCCCGTACGCACAGCCAAACGCTACCAGCAACGCTAGATCGGCGGATACACCTGGCGGGGGAGAAGACGACGAAGGGTCGTGGATCGAATGCCGGCTGCTGGTGCTCTCCGCCAGCGAAGCCTCTGTCTCCCCTGTCGTCACGTCGGCAGGATTTCCTTCTCGAACAGGCGGTTCCATCAAGGGGGGGATAGGAGACGGCGGCGTGTCTACGGGGATGCTGCAGGAGGTCGAGGTAGGGGGGAGTTCGGGCTGTGACTTGTTCGTATCTCATTTTTTTTTTTTCTTGTACCACCTGACTGAGTGAAGGTTGCGAAAGGCGGACGGGTGGTCAGACTTTCATTTCGACGTGCAAGTGTGAACCTTTAAAAAAAAAAATGCTGCGTTCGCCATTGAAGCAGTATGATGAGAGCCTCTAGTCTGTGTCTAGAAGTAGTCGATTTCGCCTAACATGCATGCGGTCGATGTACTTTGGTGAGAGCGGCTGGTGGAAGAGTTATTTGTCGGGGGTCACGTCCGGGCAAGAAAGGTGGGCGAAGGTGGGCGACGGTGGGCGGAAATATGCTCGGACATGAGCACGTACGGCAGGCAGAGGCGGCTACCCAGGCACGTTCCTTACTTTATTTAGTCCCTCATGCCCCCCATTCATTTATCATGCGTTGATACTGTAGCGAGCGCCATCCTGTTAGTTTTTCGCCCTGTGCTTAGCATTCAGTCAATTCATCATCAACAAGTTTCACTCATGGTGGTCTCAACACTACCAAGCGTGTGATGATGCACACCGCAACAAGAATAACGGCAACACCTGTCTGCACGGACGTCGGTGTACACGTCAACGACAGGTGCAGCTGCTGACGGGAAGAACTCATCAAATCCGGGGACAGCTCGCGGCGGAGGGTTGCCCGATCTACGGAGATTACCTTTACGGACCAGCTGCGAGAGAGACATCCCCAACAGGCCCCGCAGCAACAGCAGCATCAGCAGCAGCAACAACGCCAGTAGTAGTAGGAGGCAGAACAGCATCGGCGACAACACCGAGACCCACGGGCGGCACGTTCGTGCTGAGACGCTCGCCTGCCCCCGCTGCTGCTGCCGCGGAGCACGGCTTTGTCACGAAGGAAGAATCGGTGCGACAACCCGGCCTCCAGGCGGGTTTCCAAAGGGACGAGAACGATAGCAGGAGTGGATTCGTCGAAAGCCCCAAGATGGCGTTGCAGGCGTCCCACATCTCGCTTGAGTTGGAAGCGGAGGATGGGAGGAGAGAACGGCATGTGTTTACCCTTGCGAGAGACACCTGCTGGTGGTTTGACGAAGGGTGGGGAGCGTGTGTTTCGGATGAATAGCCTACAACCGTGATTTTTGTTGTTGTGGATGAAGGTAGCACGCTGATGAACGCGCTGTACTGTAGTATGTACCTTTAAGGGAAAACCTGTGGGCTACATTTGTTTGAGACTGACAGAAGCCCACCGGAGGCCGCGTTAGAATGTACTTCAGTACCAAATGAGGCCTGCCGGGGGCACGGGATTGAATTGACGGCTTTGGGTGCTGCAGAAGTGTCAAGACTTCATTCTGTCCACACATGAATGCACCGCTTCTGTGAATACACTTCTCGCAACGGACGTCGTTCTGTGGTGTTCGGTTGAGACTACACGAGAGCAAAGACGTACAGTAATCGGGTGTGCGTTCCCTGCGTCTGTTTGCTTCCCGTTGGTGACGCGCGAGAGAGCCGCTCGCTGTAGCCCCGCTTTTGCGGCTTTTCCCCCAAACCTTCATCCGCACGCGTTTCCGGCTGAAGAGGGTCCACCGGAGACCGAGCTAGAATGTCCCACATGACAGAGTTCACGTGCGTACCAGATGAAGACTACCGAGGACACGAGCATCAATTGACGGTCGCCAATACTACAGACAGAATTGTCCAGAAGAATTCATTCGACACACGAAATCTTCTTCTGTGAATGTGTTCCTGCATAGGGCATCGTTTTGTGTGTTGTCCCAGAAGCTGACTGCGGATGTGTGTATGCACAGGTTCATTACGATGGGCGAATGGGGTGTTCTCCTTTTTCTTTTGTCGGCAACTTTGCCGTTTGTGGTGGGTTCCTGGGGCTCACAGAAAAATACCGAAACTGTCGACGAAAGGAACAGGCATCAGACTAGCAAACACAATGTCTTCTTCTCGATGCGTTCGTGTTCCCTGTCTTGGTGGTTCCTCCCGAAGAATTGTCTAAAGTAGTACGCACAACGAGACCCTTTCGGAATTTCACATTTGGGAGCATCCGTCACCTTCAAGATACATCAACGGGGTAGTCGTGGAATCCGGCCGAAGACCGCGGTTTGTCACGAAAGCAAGTGTGACATCTTTGAACCACGACTCCGACAAAAATCCGGGGTGCGTCCGCGCGATGACCACTTCTTCGGCCGTGCACACTTGTGCCGTGCGCCGGCTTCCCACATGCTTTTGGGGAGAACGAGGGACACCAAACAACTTCTTGTTTTCTTGACATTTGTTGTTGAACCTCTTGTCCCTTCATTACAAACCGTACCCGTCGCTTCTCGGTAGTTCTAAAATCCGGACTGACTGGTCCAACTGACGCAGGCCTTCCTCCTTGGTAGCAGACTAAGTGCTAGCAATCGACTTCTTCGAAAACACTAGAAAGATTGTATTGTGAATTCCTTGCCGAGTTCCCGGATATTTTCGTTCACGCCACCCAAAAACAGCCACTAATTTCCTAATTATTAACCATATACTTGTCGACAGCGGCCGGTCTTGAAGGAGGGCTATCCATTCGCCCCCGGTACGACAGGAGAAAGAACCACAAGAACTTTATTCGAAGGAGCAAAGGTCTTCAATGAAGCCTTCCAAAGAACGGTGAAGTTTTCTCTCTTACCAATTTCAATTCGGCCTCTCAAGAGATGGAGAGGAAAAATCGACCCTCTTACGCGACAATCATGACCAAAACATACGACGAGGATGGGCCTCAAGAGGCCGAACACGAGTGTTTGGAGCAGGTTCCTTCGTGACCAAGAGTCCAAGCGCGCTCCCTCTACAGCTCGTGACCCCAAATAGGGGGCGGGGGCAAAATGTGGCCTGCAAACGCAACAACTATTGGCCTACACGACTGATACTGAGATCTCCTTACGCAAGGCTCAATGGCTGGCCTTGAACACAACAGAGCGCCATCCTCACTTTACATCAAAATTCTGAACACATCCGGTTGAGACCGGCACGCCAATGACACACGGAACCACTTGGCAAGATCAAGCCGTACAAGTTCCCGTCTAGTCTATTGTCCTAGACTACTAGGAAATACATTCCATTCCGTTCCATTCAGACGATGCCCTTGGTGGCGAACGTATCACAATCTACTGGTACAAAAAAAACAGCATCCGCGGATGATGATTCCGTCGATCGAGTTCTTACCTACTTAAGAAATTCTCTCAAAAGATGCCCATTGATATTATCTTCTTTCTCATCCTTCGTCTTCATTTATTCTGGTCCGACTCTACACGTACGACGTGGCGACGACGACCTCGGCAACCGGGTTGCGCCAGTCGTAGTTGGCCTCGCCCAGGTCTGGGCCCACCCCGTGGAAGCCGCGGGACACCGAGATGAACCCTTCGCCGGGTCCGTCCTCCATGTTGCCACTGTCGGCCGGGCACGCAGGGCCAGGGATGTGGGTGCACAGCTCGTTGTTGGCCTCGGTACCTGTGTCGTCGGTGGATCCGATCCATTGGGGGGTGGAAAGATTGGGATGTTGACGTTGCGGCAAGAGGAAGAGGGGTGTGTCAGACGCATGAATGCTCGCGATTGTTGTTCAGCGACACAAAAAATAATATCGACCAAGATGACCCCCCCCCCCCCCCTTCAGGCGGGACGTGAAGGCTGAACCCCAGCACATAATATACAACCACAGATAAACTCACGCATTGGGTAAATTCTAGAATTTTCACTTTATCGTATCGATCGGCAGATATCGTCTACCACCACCGTGTACGGTGACAATAACATCCGAGCACACACAACCCGCTTTCTCTCTCACCGGCATCGAAAGCCGGCGGGAACACCTTTTCGGTTCCGACCAGCCTGTTGGAGTCGATGCCCACGAAGGCGTCGTTGGTGTTGACTGCGACCGGAACACGACCAGGAGTTGTGAGCGCGGGGAGTCGCGAGATAAGGCACGACGAGAAAGGGTCAGGGGAGAGGATCGGGGAGTGAGAAGTTAGAGACGTCGTGTAGTGGGTGGCTCAAAGGCTCAAAGGCTCAAAGGTTTGGCCCTTACGTTGCGAGAGTATATGTAGCACCAGTGCAGTAACGCGTACCGCTCGAACGGAGCCCAGAGTAGGGCCGCTCATTCACTCCGCAGTTCTTGCTTCTTGCGTATGGTGACAACAAGGTGTTTAGTGCTGCCTGCCGAAATTCTGAAACGAGACGACGACGACGACTCACTTAGCATGCTCACGACGCTGTACTGTGCGTCCGGGCAGATGCTCTCGTCGACCGTCATGACGCCCCTCCATGTGTCCCCGGGGAAGAGCGGAGCTTCGCCCATCACGCCGCCGCAGATGTACGGCTCCACATCTTCTGAGGCCAGGAGCTCCTGATCATGCAAACATGCAAGCAGCGAACACGAACGTGTTCTAGAACCTCAGCACGACGTGTGTTACCGCCAGGAAACAGCTCTCGACTCGGCTCGAAGGGCTTCAGACATACCTGCTAATAGTCTACGCCTAATGCCTTCCGGGATACTACTTGGTACGGGATCATTGCCTCAAAGAGGGGCGTAGACTACACCATGTAAGCGCGTTCTCAATCAGCAGTGCATCCCCGGCGTCAGGCTCGACAACCACACAGCACTACAAGTTAGAAGGACGTACACGATAACAGCAGGGTACTTGTGTCCGGGTACTTGTCACAGCAATTACAATCACACCGACACCAAGAACTTGATTTTGCAACACCGAACTGTGAAGTGTGCAGCGGCACGTACCACTAGCGCCGAGTTGTCGCCGTCCTCCGCCATAATCTTGACGGCGTCGCTGGCGGGAAAGCCCTCCCTGAAAATGGACACGTCCTGCAGAGAAAGAGAAACCACAAATACTTCGAAGATTAGATACAACAGGCAGCAATAATATTACAGATAAAGAGATGGGGCGGGAGGATACCTACCGAACACGCATCGATACAGGTAGAGTTTGTCTATATGTATAGAATAGAAACTGGGAAGCCAACTGTTTCGGGAAGTTGTGGCTCGCTATTTCTTTTTAGACAGTATTCATAAACATAAACACCCAGAAAGAAAGACTACCCGTTCGAGATCATACCACTGTCGAAAGGGATGTATGTGTTGAAGTTCCTCATTGACTTGTCACCCATCACACCGAACCCAAACACTTTTCTTTATTTCTATTTCTGCGGAAGCTCTCTTTTTATGTCCGGCTGGGTCCTCTCTTTTCATGTCTTTCATGAATGCATAGAGTGACCCTTCAATGTACTTCTGCACAGCAGTACATGTAGTACAGCGTAGAGATGTGTTGAACAGGGATCGAACGGCCCATAATGTATGGAAAACACACACAAAACACGGGTAACCGAACAAAATCAATCAGGTGAGCATCCATTTACTTGTGCAGAGCTACTGAAGAAATCGACCCCAGAGTAGTCTATGCAGGCCATCAATCAACCTTGAGAGCCACAACAACAAATTTCTAATCGTATCGATAGACGTCGCAGCAAACCCTGTGAGCGAGCGCGTATCCCACAACAGCAACAGTGTAAGCAACAGTGTAACTCACGTTGGTGTGCGCCACGACAAACATGGGCGAGAAGGGCTGCAAGTAGGTCAGGTTCCTCACGCGAACCTGTGAAAGGCACGCATAGCCGGACACGAGCAGAACAGTTGCCCCCCCCGAGATTCATCAACAACCTTTCACACAGCGAACGGTCGTCGTCGTAGTAGAGTGTGGCAAAACCAGGAGCACGAGCAGCATACACACAGCAGTTCTGTGGTTGAATCCATCCAACCGAATCCGAACGAGACACCACAGCGGATGGATAAGCATCTCATGCAAGAAACACACAACAGCAGTACGAGTACGAGATTACGGAGAGTTCTCCATGCCCACAAAACCGATTTGTGAAAGTCTCGGCTACTCCATAACAAACACAAAGGAGGCTGCCACCCCTGAAAACGATGGTTTCGGCAATGTCTCGGTGTGAGCTTTCCTTGCAGCACGGGTCGGTTGGATTCGCACCCGCTTAGGCCGGGGATCCTGAAAGTCCGATGTGTGCAGGTTCGCCCGCATCCCAAGGATTTGCGGGCTGCTTGGCTGTACTTACATAGACTTCACCGGCGTTGGCCATAGAGAGCGCCGAAGCGAGAGCGAACACTGGGGTAAACTTGACCATGTTGGCTTGACTGCGGTGTTGATGTATCGAAGAGAGGAAGAGTGAGAGGAAGGAAGCGCAGGAAGGTGAGATGAGGAATGTGTGTGTGTAGCGGGGCAGGGGCGATCGGAGTTTTTTTTTTGGGCGGATCGTTGGATCTTTAAAATGGCTCTCGGGTCCATCGTTTACCCATCTTGCCGTGTTGGCGGTCTCCAAACCAGCTCCAAATATGTAGCGTTCAGAAGGAAAGCGTTGTTTGTGGAAGGCGTTTGTTGAATTCGAAAGAAAGCAGGGGACGGGTGATGAGCGTCCCCTGCGTGCAAAAGTCTTCAGTCTTCTCGTGCACCCGCGTCTCGGGGAAGAGAACGCTAGTGCAGTCAAGCAACTAGTTGAGGAAGCAAGAGGAAGGACCGTGGAAGTTAGGACCTTGATCGATTTTAACAGGTGGCGCAGCAGGGACAGATCCTGCAGCAGCAGCAGCAGCAGCAGCAGCAGCAGCAGCAGCAGCAGCAGCAGCAGCTGCAGCAGCAGCCACAACAGCAGCAGCAGCCACAGCAGCAGCAGCAACAACCCGCCGGCGGCATTCTTCCTCCCGCCAACGCACCGGTGGTGGCCGCTAGCGCCGCGCCGCCCGCCCCGGCGACCGCGGGGTCGAAGATGACGAAGATGAAGTCTTCAGTCTTCTTGTGCACCCGCGTCTCGGGGAAGAGAACGCTAGTGCAGTCAAGCAACTAGTTGAGGAAGCAAGAGGAAGGACCGTGGAAGTTAGGACCTTGATCGATTTTAACAGGTGGCGCAGCAGGGACAGATCCTGCAGCAGCAGCAGCAGCAGCAGCAGCAGCAGCAGCAGCAGCAGCAGCAGCAGCAGCAGCAGCAGCTGCAGCAGCAGCCACAACAGCAGCAGCAGCCACAGCAGCAGCAGCAACAACCCGCCGGCGGCATTCTTCCTCCCGCCAACGCACCGGTGGTGGCCGCTAGCGCCGCGCCGCCCGCCCCGGCGACCGCGGGGTCGAAGATGACGGAGAAGCTGAGGGCTGAGGACTGGAAAGCGACGGGCCCCCTGTGGCTCCTCGCGCGGGGCGGATTCGACACTCGCGCCCCGGTCGACGTGCCCTTCGTTAAAATGGTCGCCGGTGAATACTCACACATCACAGAGCAGGGAGGGAAACAGATGTGTAGCCTGACGGACATAAAAATCGAGCACTGTTTCCCGCCCAAGTCCGCCAACGCCGCCCTCGCTGCCATGCCAGTGACGGTCCACTTCGACACCTTCATCACCGTGCTGTTCAAAACGATCGAGTACGGCATGGACACGGCCGAGGAGAATGCCAAGCTTCGCGTCGCGGCCTGGAGGGCGGAGTTCGCATCGATTACAAGGAAGCTGGCTACGTACCTCACCCTCCACTACACAGGCCTGCAGCCCCATGAAAACCGGGTCCGCAACGCCCTCCTGGATGCCATCAACCGCGGCTTGGAAGACGGTTTCCGCATTCTACACAAGATGGCATATGACCTACGCCGGACGCACCAGGACGGCCCCCCCACCGCGGACGCCACGGATGCCGTCCCATTTCCGCGATTCAAGCTCCTTAAGACCTTGCTCGAGGAAGATCACACCCAGAGTCTCGCGGAAAAGGCAGCCCAATGGCCTCTCCCCACCGTGGCCGCCGCCCTCGCCCCCGCCACGAGTGCGAAGCGGAAGAGCGGAACGGCCGGGGCCAAGACAGCGACAACCAAGCGGCAGCGGACCACGACCACGACCCCGACGTGCCCCCCCGGGTTTTGCAAGGGATGGTGGTTCAGCCGCCAGTGCCGCACTCCAGACTGCCAACTCCACCACGTACACGCCGGTCCCGCCCCCGCCACCTCCGCCGCTTCCCCACCCCCGCAGGTCCCGCCACCCCCGCAGGCCCCGCCGCAGCAGGCGGCGGCGCCGCAGCCGCTACCATCGCAGCAGCAGCAGCAGCAGCAGCAGCAGCAGCTCCGCCAGCCCAGCGTGGGCAACTTCAGCATGACGGTCAACGGCGGCAGGGGCGGTGGAGGAGGGAACCAGGGGCGCGGCGCCGGAGGGAGGGGCGGTGGGGGGAGGGGAGGTTTCTGACAGGTTGGGCTCTGCCATACGGCAGGGCCGACAGTAGGTGCGGGAGGGGAGTCAGGACACGCTGGTACCTGGTTCGCCGACGTCGCCAGGTCCGTGGGGCCTCGGGACGCGCCCACGCCGGGGTCGGTTTCGCCGGCCCTGTTTCACGGTGAGCAACTCATGTTGAGCAATAGCGGTCGCGCAGCAAGGTATAGGTGGACCAACCACACGCACCCATCTGGTAGCTCCACAAACCTCGACGTAGCCGAATCTCGCCCCACCTGTACGATCGGATAGTAGGTTGTCCCCACACTCCAGGGCCAGCACCCTCGAAATGTCGACACAACCACCGTTTCCTACACGAATTGACGAGATCCCGCCACGAACACGCGAAGCGGACCAACGAGTATCACCGCTTACCACAAAGATAGACACGTCATGTCACCTGTCTCCCACACAAGCCGCAGATGTAGCTGTGTCGGACACAGGGAGACTGTCGTCTCTCCCACAACGCGTAGAAGTCGGCGTTTTGGACACGAGGCTCGCCTCGCCTCTCACACGCCCCCCGGGGTATTCAGTGTCAGACGCGCGGCAGCCAACGTCTCCAACGTCGCTAGCAGCCTTGAACGCGTCAGCGGCGATGCATCGCCCGTCTCGCACACAGCCCCACGAGGCACGCGTACCAGACGAGGCACGATCGACGCTTCTCACTTCGGTCACCGCGCCTGGCGCGTCAGACACGACCTGTCCTCGAAGTCCCACCCTACCAGAAAAGGTCCAAGGGTCGGCACTACGACGGCAACCGTCTCTCACGCACCACGCACACTTTACCCATACACAGCAGCTCCAGCGCAATACACAACTCATGTTGAGCAATAGCGGTCGCGCAGCAAGGTATAGGTGGACCAACCACACGCACCCGTCTGATAGCTCCAAAAACCTCGACGTAGCCGAATCTCGCCCACTTGTACGATCGGATAGTAGGTTGTCCCCACACTCCAGGCCCAGCGCCCTCGAAATGTCGACACAACCACCGTTTCCTACACGAATTGACGAGATCCCGCCACGAACACGCGAAGCAGGCCGACAGGCCTCACCGCTGACCACAAAGATAGACACGTCATGTCACCTGTCTCCCACACAAGCCGCAGATGTAGCTGTGTCGGACACAGGGAGAATGTCGTCTCTCCCACAACCCGTAGAAGTCGGCGATTCGGACACGAGGCTCGCCTCGCCTCTCACACGCCCCCCGGGGTAATCAGTGTCAGACGCGCGGCAGCCAACGTCTCCACCGCCGCCAGCTGCCTTGAACGCGTCAGCGGCGGCGCAACTCCCGTCTCGCACACAGCCCCACGAGGCACGTGTACCAGACGAGGCACGATCGACGCTTCTCACTTCGGTCACCGCGCCTGGCGCGTCAGACACGACCTGTCCTCGAAGTTCCACCCTGCCAGCAAAGGTCCAAGGGTCGGCACTACGACGACAACCGTCTCTCACGCACCACGCACACTTTACCCCCACGCAGCAGCTCCAGCGCAATATACAACCTCCTGTAGGACTGCGCTCGACCTACAGCACGGAAAAACGAGTCTTGCCTCATCGTAGCCCTCCCCACGTCGGGTCATCATCGATTCCCAATGGCCAAGGGCGCAGTGAAACACAGCGAAAACACGTGGCGAGGTGGCACGAGGACAGAGCAACACTCGGAAAAACAAACCTCGAACAACCAGAGAGAGAAAAAATTCTGTATCAACTAGCAGAGGTTTGCACAGAAATGATGCGAGACAACCGTGGTTCGGTAGGGAAGGTAGCACGGTCGCTCGGCGGAACCTTGGTCACACCACCGGTAGACCCGAAGCACGTCAGACAATATTTTGGGGACCTAAAAGGTTTTCCACAGATCGAAGAACTGATGACAATCGTTACTGGAGGGGTACCAGTGAGTGCCCCCCCGTCTAAAGCGGACCTTGCAAGCGCACTGAACTACGGAAACCACCGGTCGGCTGACGAGCACCTACCGCTCATTTGGAAGAAACTCGCAGAGGATGTACGAAGAGAGAGATGCCTCGTTATTCAAAAATCGGCGGCGTATGAAATCCCAAACCTCCGCGTGTCGCCGCTGGGAGCGGTCGTTACCCACAAGGTTAGGATAATCAACGACTTGTCTTTCGACGCTGACAACAAAGGGGTAAAAGGAGGTCTTAACGCTGACACAGACTTCGACAGTGTACCCCCTAGCCTCTGCGCCGAAGCCCTGCCAAAATTCCTGTCGGAGCTAGTTAGCCTTCGAGCCAAAAACCCGAAGCTCCGCATCCTCATGTCAACGACGGACGTCAACGACGCCTATCGCAACGTTCGAGTAGAACCTGAGCAAGCACACAACTTCAGCTACGTAGTCGACGACCTCGTCGTCATCGATTTCCGCCTGACTTTCGGTTGGACCGGCTCGCCGGGACATTTCGGAGTTATGGCGTCTGCGGCTGAACACTCGCACTGCAATACCAATCTCGAGAGCGTACAGTTGCTGCCCGAAGGAATAAACATGATGAAGCACGTAAAAATCGTCGAACCGTGGGAGGAAGGCGACCCTACGCCCGTGCCGGATGACGCCACAGTTCACGCCACAAAAGGAGGCGATCTGTCGAGCAATTTCATGTCGGTCGTTTACGTGGATGATCACGGCCTCCTCAGAACCCAGCAATCGGCCGACGACTTGTCAGCGCTGACCGTGTCCGCGTCTTTAGCATCAGACTACGTTCGCTTGTTCGGCCCGGGAGAACCGGGGGAGACTCCTATACTCGCGCCGAAGAAGAGTTCGAATTGGGACACGCAGCTTGAATTCTTAGGGTTCGTCATCGACTCGCACGAGCTAAAAATCTCTTTGACAACGAAGAAA